TTGTGTCTCATAAAAGTCGTTGAAATTGCTTGGCTCCTTCTGGTACCTGCCATACAACTTCAAAAGTTATTTGGCTATATTTCAGGAACTATAAAAGCTATATGGTATTGAAATTTCAAACAAACGAATATATTAGTAGGGCCAATGTGTCTCATAAAACTCGCTGAAATTGCTTGGCTCCTTCTGACAGCTGTGCTACAACTTCAAAAGTTATTTGGCACACACAGTATTTTGAAAAACACATAGCACTGAAATTTTGCATAAATTAATATGGTAATACGACAACTTAAAGTCATAGTCTGTCCCATAGTCAGTTATGGCATCTTTATTCGCACATAGGATAACAAATTCGTACGGGTATCACAGAGTTGACAAGGTCGACTCTATTTTTTTTCTCGTTTAATAATTTTTTTATTAGACGGCTGCAGGAAGTGTCCTAAGAATTTTACTGATCATCAGTGAGTCAACAACGAAGTTGGTTGTTTTTTAGACTAAATTTATATTAAGTCTAAAGTATAACCAAGCGCCATCCAATTGAAACTTTACATGTTTAGTACGTCCACTAATGACGTATCTCAACTTTTTTTCTCTCTGAATGAATTCACATAATGATATTTTCGGGTGAAAATTATACACACTATTCACTTAAAAACTTGAGTGAATTTGTAATTAAGTTTCTGATTTGGTTTTGCTTTACAAGGTTATTTCTTCGAAGGTAACTAAAAAAAAGTCGTTTAGTACTGCGTAAAAATTGTCAATTGTAGTGTCAACGAGAGAACTGTTTAAGACTTTTAACGAAAAAAATTCAGTAGTTATATAAAGTAGAATAAAAAGCGTACAGAATTTTTTTCATCTCTTCGAAAAATTAAATAAAAAATTGGTTTAAATGATTTCGATATTTTTTAAGATATTGGCATAGTGAAAGTTCAGTTTCCGAACCTGAATTTGGGTTCATTACCTTATGGAATTGTATGCAATGTGGTCGATATTGAACTGATATATGCTGCAGCACTTTATCGCATTCATTGTATATTTTTTGAATGATAGTTGTAAACTTTTTAAAGTTATTTTTAATATAGTCTAGTTTGTCTTGAAATGTCTTTTATAGACTTACTTCAAATTTCAAGATAATTAGTACAATTAAATAGTTATCATATATATATTTAACAAATCTTTAAAAAATTTTGTCGTTTACATTTTTGGCAGATCCGATTATACCCAAATGGTGAGGAGTTCGCCAAGAGGAGCCGAAATAGGAGCAGGTATCTTACTAAACCAATTTTTTTATTTTCTTTAGAAATTTAGTGTGCAAACAGTACCATTTTGTGCATTTACATGCAATGCTTTCGGTGAAAATGAAATTTGTGATGGGTAGAAATTTAGGTATATCGTAAAATTAAGGTAATATAGAAAATTGATCAATTTATTGAATGTACTCTTTATGAGTTGTTGGCCCAGGATCATTTTTGTAACAAAGAATTAATTTTTTTTTAAGTAATTTTAAATTCGCCATTCTTCTAAATCGATTTATCTTTTAGCCATATAGTTAATTGGATCAAATAAAAATATTCGGATCAGGTATATACATAGACTTTAATAAAAATCAGTTCAGTCCAATCTTAGATACGATAATGTACAGAGCGACAGACGTTTTTCTTACTCGTATATACCACACTTGCACTATTCCATCATGGAAAAGCTAATTTTTGAAAGGAAGAGATATTTGCTGAGATCAAAACGATTATGCGATCGACATTAAGGAATAATATGTGAAAAATTCGTTACACCCAACAGTTCATTTTCAGTTATGGGTGTAACTGGAAATGGACACTACTTATTTTGTGTTTTCTGAAAAACTTCTTCTTTTAAAAATAAAATACATAATTTCTAGTTTTTCTTTTAATCATACATTGTTAAATTTCATATACACATACATACATATGTAAATATTAATTAAGTTTATAAACTTGTAATACATATGCAAGTACCATTTGCCACAAGTATTTTTAGCCAAATGGGCATGTTAACGTCCAATTCTGGAAGTAACAACCAATTTTCTGTCTATTTTCTGCTTTAGGTGCCGATGGAGTTTCATCATTAGGCGTTCCATACCCTTGTCCCTCTGGCAAAAGCAACTTTGCTGGTAATTCTTGCTGTGCTGTTGTTTCTGACTGTTCCAAAGGATAAGCAGCAGCTAACGCAAATATAATTGCAAATAAAACCATAAAGAAGGTAGAATTCATTTTTTATGTTTAATTCAACTTTTTTTAATATTAAAAAGCTTGATGTAAGAGAATTGTGTAAAGCGAACGAATGCTTTTTTCAATTGATGCTGTTTGAAAATTTTTAAAAGCTTTTTATACTCTCACATTTGCTTTAGAATTCTAAGAACAACTGCAAATTGGAACTAAACTTATGAATTTTCATAGTTTCTTGTTAAAAATGTGAGAAAACATTAAAAATAATTTTGAAATTTTATTTGTTTACTTAAAATATGATGTAAAACTGAAATGGCTTCAATTATTAGAATTAATTTTTGCATCAGATTTACTTTTATATAATAAAAAAAAATAAAAATATGCAAGACGCATATTTTTATTTTTTTTTTGAAAATTCGAAGAGTCTGGAAAAATTTTCCACGGGTCTTCGAAATTATTAAGGACCATGCAATTTAAGTTCGTATTTATAGAAGCATAAATGTAGTATAATAGTAGTTATATGTACTTATATAAGTACAATAGATTTATTGTACTTTTAGATTTCTGATTTCAAACTGTTTTAAAAAAAATTTTATAGGCTTACCCTTTGTCAAACTTTGAGTATGTGTGTTAATTGGTCTCTAAATGGTATATGCACGTTGCGGTGTCTATTATATTGCAAATGAAAATGTTTGTAAATTTTATTACTCATTTTAAACTACATATCGTTGGCATTACGAGTTTTCGAGAAAAACGCATTTGAAAATATAATGTCAATTTGCTGATACATACATACGTGCAAAATTACAACGTTGTTTTTCTGAAAATACTAAAGTTAGAGTTACGTGGGTTTTTTTATAAAGACAGTTTAGAAAATTCTGAATATTTTTGTTTATATATGTAACTCAAATTTCTTAAAAAAGCAGTTTCGTGACTCTTCCATAATAGCAACAATATTTTTCTATGCTCAACCAACACCAAAACCATAATATCGTAATCAGAATATGTAAATTGAGATTTTTTTTCTGTATTTCATGTAATGTATAATAAAATATTTAAAATGCAAAGTTTCTGAATTAAAAACTTAAAATTTTAATCTTGGTTCGATTTTTCAATTTTAGCCTTTGTAATTTTACAAAAATTTTTAAAAAATTTGATTTTAGGACTTATCACTAAACCGATTTACCATTTTTCAAATTATTTGTCATATTTTTTCTCATTTTACATTAAATTTCTACATATGTATATATGTAATCATTGATTAATATATATAAAGATTAAATTATTTCAATTAAATTTCTAAATAAATCGTATGTAACTTTTGTAATAGATTCAATTTTTTGATAGTTTTGACAACAATTATTTTTATAAATATTTACAGTATTTATTATAATTTAATTTATTCATAAAAAAAAACAGATGGTGCAGTTAATGCTAATTTAACATATGTATTAAAAAAAATTTTGTTATTTTTTTCCTCCCCCTTGCCCCTCAAATTATATTGCATCGAAGGTGTCTACTAATTCAGACAAAATATAAGAAAGCACATTCTTAGTTCAATATCAGTAAAAAATCATTACTTGTAAAACAACAATGCGTTTTAATATTTTGATATTGGTATTTACTTTGATTGCCACTTTATCTGGAGCTTATTCAGATCAAAGCATTAGTAACGAAGAAGTTAAAAGATTGAATCCTGATGATCCAATTTATGTCAGATGGGGAGCATGTATTCAAATTCGTGGAGTACGAGTTTGCGGTGGAGGCAATTAAGAAAAAGAGAGAAAATTATGTAACGTTGTTCATAACAGAAATATAATATAAAATTTTGAAATATTAAATATTTTGTTTTCTTCTCTTAAAATTTTCTAGGCTTATACTTATGTACATACACACTTAAGTATGTATAAAAATTCATATTTTCTGCTTTCATGTCTTATTTTCGATTTTTTTCAATTACGCAAAACCGTATCATCTTTATAACAATTTTACAAGTAAAAGTAAACGTTGTGTTATCCTTAAAAGCTCATATTTCTTTAAACCACAGAAATTTCAATGGGTTCTAATTATAACGTTATTTATATCTTGACGTTTTTGGATTTTGTTAAAAAGGTAAAACTTCGGCAGAACTGACTGACAAAAGACGCCAATTTCCGATTTTATTTATTTTTTTTTTATTTATCAATTCACAAAGTACAAACTTACATTCAATTAAATTACAAAACAAAATTTAAACAAAATTTTTAATTACACGCACATATTTTTTTACTCCTACTATGTAAATTGAAAATTTGACTATACAATTGATCTAACACTAGCCATATACCTATTTTAAGGTTTACTCTTTCGAATCTAATCATTGACTTTATCCTATCTGCTTTAGCATGTATGTATTTGCATAGGAAAAGTGAAAGTTAATACTTTTAGTACTTCAAAAACGTACGTTAATTTACAGGAAAAAAAGAATTTTCTAAAATACTAAATTAAATTCTTAATTTAAAACAAGGACAAATGAAATTGTATTTGTTTAAAAAATCTAATAAAAGATATGTATGTACATATGTTATATTGTGTCGCTTACGGGACACGGATGTCACTCACGAGAATTAAAAACACAATATTAGGTTAAGGTTTAACGTAATTCACATACATATGCACAATATTATATATACGTATGTATTTCATTAATTCAACCTGATAGCAGGTTTTTATTGATCCGTTTTTTATTTTTTAAAATAAAACAAAAAATAAAAATGTTGAAATTTTTTCCAATTTTTTTAATAAATTATTTTAATTTTGCAGGTTATATCGACAAAAAATATCCAGCAACTGAACGTGGAGACGTTCTTATTTTCGTTAGTGGAGTACATGAAATTGATACTGTAATTGAAGCTGCTAAGCAATTTGATGAAAATGATGGTAGATGGACATTTTTACCTCTTCATAGTGGTTTATCGCTTGAAGATCAAGATAAAGTTTTTGAATTGCCTTGTGAAGGCATTCGTAAATGTGTTGTTTCAACAAATATTGCTGAAACGTCACTGACGCTAGCTGGTGTACGATTTGTTATAGACTCTGGCAAAGTTAAAGAAATGAATTATGATACGCAATCCAAAACACAAAGTTTGAAAGAATTCAATATTTCTAAATCATCAGCTGATCAAAGAAAAGGTCGTGCTGGTAGAACTGCTCCAGGTGTATGTTATAGATTGTATTCAGAGGAGGACTATGAACAATTTGATGATTATCCTATACCAGAAATTCGGAGAGTTCCTTTAGAAACCATGCTTCTACAAATGATTTCAATGGGATTGCAAAATGTTCGAATATTCCCTTTTATTGAAGCTCCGCATGAGAAAAGTATTGAACAATCCATTTTGACGTTAAAACAGCACGATGCCTTAACCAACAACGAAAAAATAACTCAACTTGGTAAGGCGCTTTCAGCTTTACCAGTTGAACTGATAATTGGTAAGCTTATTTTGATGGGCTCAATGATATACGATTTGGAAAGAGTTATAACAATTGCTTCAATATTGAGTATTCAATCAATATTTACAAGCAGAGCATTTACTGATCAAAACTGTAAAGAAGCTAGAAAAAATTTAGAATCTTCACAAGGTGATTTGTTTACAGGTAAAAAGTTAATTATAACAAATATTTATATGTACAAACTTTTACATTATGTAATAATATAGTAAAATTTTCATAGCTTTAAATTTTTATCGAGATTGGTTAGAACAAAAATGTGAACGTAAATCTAACACACGTCAATTTTGCCGAAAAATGGGAATTGAAGAACAAAGACTTTACGAAATCACTAAACTTCGTAAACAGTTTAAATCTATTTTGGAAAATAGTGAACTAATGCCAGTGTTAAATAAACTGCAAACAGAGAAACCAATGTCAAGTGCAGAGAGGGCTATACGACACGGAGAATTGCGAATTTTAAAATCAATAAAACGTGCTAGCAAATTTGATTCTGTTGAAATGGAAAATAATAAAAGACATAAGAAGGATTGCCAATCAAAAGACGATATTAGAGATGTAGACTTTCGACTTAATCAAGACTTTAATGATCTTCAATTAATTATCAAATCAACACAAATTCGAAGCGCAAAAGATATTTTAATTTTAAAGTTAATCGTCACAAGCGGTTTTTACCCAAATTTGGCTATCCCTGACGAATTTAATTATTGTAAATCTGAAAGTCAACAATTTTTTCATACTTGCTCTAAACCTTTTGTTAGTATTCATCCAAATGCACAACTTTCTTATCATTTAGATGTTCTAAAATTAATAGACTCAGAGATAGTTACTCAAAAGCCAGCGTATTACATGCATTGCAAAGCACCTTTAAGTTCCGCTCATAAAATTTTGTGCTATCAAAGTCTTTTAGAAACAAGTAAATCTTATTTAATTGCACCATTTTACTTACCAGCTGCACCGACTTTATTCCTTTTTTCTTATTCAATTGATACAAATATGGCTATAACTAAAGTAGTTTGCGATTCATGGTTATGTATAGAATTTCCAACTCCTGGTGCAGGACAAACTTTATTAGCAAAATCGATTGATTTAAGAGAACGTTGGCTAAACGCTTTAAATTCACGATTAACAAGTATGAGTTCCGTTAGTAATAACAATTCTAGCTGGAATAAGCTATTAGATGAACTCATATACTTTATGAATTCCGATATTGTATATACCATCAAACGATTATTACCAGCTGACATAAAAAATTTATATACAACGATTGAAATTGGACCAGATGTTTTTAATACAAATCCATTTTCTAATGAATATCAAATTACGGGAAACTCTGAAAAAGGTGGCCTCAATGTTGCTGAACACGTAACTTTTGGTTGTATTAAAGAAGAAAGTTGGACACTTGAAATGGATCGACAATTAGAAGATCAATCTTGGTCGTGTGAAGAATGTGATGAAAACATATCGCTCTGTGGAATTTTTAAAATGGTTCACAAAAGAGAATGTCAAAAAAAAATCCGATTAGAAATTGTAAAAAATAATGCTTGAATAATTTTCACTGTAAGAATTGGTAATTCAATAATGAAAATTTAATTAAGTATGATTGAGTTACTTGGATTGTAATGAAAAAAAGTTTGGGATACTTTAACAGCTTTTTCTTATTTCAAGAAGGTCGGAAACTATACGAACTACAAAAATGTAGTTCTGCTAATAAAGCCGCCTATTTGCAAAAAACATAAAAACTAAAACATATTAAAATCAGAACAAATAAGCATAAAATCTCAAATTAAAAATTAACAAAGAGCTGCAACACAGCAAAAAAAATGGGCTGGAACTCAATCAAAGTCGGATTTTTGAAATCTAAAGTTCTTGTAGAAACGTACTGTATTTTAATGTATGCCGGTTCCATATTGATTCCTCGGTTTTTATTTTGATTTTAAATATCATTTGATATTTCTACTTGCACACCCCTTTTAATATTTAAATGGTTCCCTTCTTTATTTCAACATTTCTCTAACGTTAAGAAAACTTTCCGTGTTCAATAGCAGTGATGTATGAAATGGATAGAATATTTCAGTCACGTAATATGATGCCGAATAGAATTGTTATTCCAAATTTTTTAAATTCAAATGAAAATATATAAAAATACATTTGAACCATGAAATGGTATCTAGAATTTATAATTATGTATATAATGTATATATTAGCTTTAAAAATTATAAATTTTTGTAGTTATTTAAAGTCTTCATTACTTTAAGCCTTCATTTTACTTCATTGTATATTTATTTTTCAACGCGGATTACTGTCTAAAATTTAGTAAATTTTATTGATATAGTGAAGATGTACATATATTTGTTATGAATATATGACTTTAAAAAATAAATTTAAAACAACTTTAAGGTAAAAATTTTTTTGGTTTTTATTATAAAATGTAATTTTTTATCATAAAAAATAGCGCTTACGTTATAAAACAAATTGAAAAAAACTTCTCATTAAATAAAATATGATCAAAATTAAAAGCATATTTTAAAGGAAATAACAACAAAATTTAATTCAAAAAAAATTTGTGGTAAGTTTTTTTTTCCTTATTTTTTTAACGATTTCTTATGCTTTCTTTCTTCAGTCTTTAAGAACAAGTCGAAGCAATCATTTTTAGGAGGTGTTATGACTTTCCATGCGTTTTGTTTTTCAAATGGTTTATCAATTTTCTCCTTCAATTTTCCTTTATTTGATTCTTCGAAAACTTTTCTTTGTTTCTGAGACATTCTAAAAAATGTTTTTGGTATAAAATCTCCGAATTGTGAATTGCGTGGGATTGAAGTCTCTGTTGAATCCATCTTTTCAACATTAAGAATATTTGAATTTTTTTTATTTGTCGATTTAGTTGATAAATTTACGACTTTATTCAAGCGAACAAGATTTTGTTCTTTTTCTGTTTTTTCCTTACTTGTGGCTATGCTTTCCATAACACATTTTGTTTTCTTTTCCTTTCTATTAATTTTGGTCCATATTTTGGAATTATTAATTTCTAGTGAACTATTAATTTCTTCATTTTCTGATTGCTTAAATTGATGTTGCAAGTTTTTTTTATTTTCCATTCTTAGTTCTTCTATTTTAGCTAAAATTGCAGTTTGTTCGTATTTTCTTCGGTTGTCTTTCAATCTCTCTACCCTCTTATCCTTTTCTTTAAATTGCTTCTCAGTAAGAATTTTTTCATTATCTTTGTCTTCTATGTTAACTGTAGAATTATTTGCAGAATTTGAAATATCTTCATCACTTGGAGCTTCACTATCAACAGCAATGACGCGAGAAGCAAATATATTTTTAAATATTTGTTTATAGTAAATATTTAAAAGTTTTAAAGTTTCCAGTTTACATACTTCCAAACTTCTTCGAAACAAAACACTACTTAAATGTAGACAAATAAAATCCATACAATACTTTTTTAAAATCCCACAGTTATAGCTTACAGCAAATTCTAACATTTCCCCACATTTTTCAATGCCATTTTTTTGGAAGAGTAGTGATATACAAAGTATACTCAAGCTATCTATAAGAAAAATATCGCATATTACTATTATGTTGTATAAAAAAATTTCATCATAATTTTGGTTTTTGAAATTTTCTATATCATTATCATAGACAAAATCTAAAATGGGTTGAAAGTATTTAATTGGCACATTTGTTAAATCAACTACAGCACTTTCATCCCAACCATGTGTAAATCTAGCATGGAAATACTCTAATCGTTCAACTAGTACACACTTATGTGCTTGCAGTTCTTCATTATCGGCACATTTTATTTTGACATCATACAATTCGGGAAAATTCGAAATTTTCATTCGACCAAATTGGCTAGTATCATTGTCAACCAACTCCCCATTTGGGTTCAAATTTATTTGACTATTAAAAAATGTATTATAAATGGAGTATAAAATGGCATAAAGCTTAATTAAAGTGATTTAAATTTACCTTTTGATGTGTGAAACAAGATCCATCAATGTGAATTTTTCCGCCACATCTAATAGAATATCCAAATGTTTAAGTTGGTTTTGATTGCAACTCGATTCTAAACGTTCATCAATAAAATCACGAATTTCTATTTAATTAAAAATTAAATAAATTAAATACAAAATATTCATTACTTATTAAAATGCTATTATTTACCGTCTAATGTTGGAAAATAATGGCAATAAATGTGTTTGAGAATTGTATGAAACATTTTTGCCGTGAGACCCTTATAGTTTAAATAAATATTTTCATCATCAAATTGTTCGATAATTTCTTTCAAACCCTTTGACCGGAAATAAACTATAAACTTATGAGCATAAAATATTTCATTATCTACGTGAAAAATTAAATCGTTTATTGCATCGTACTGGTTTATTTCATCAAATAATTTTTTAAAATTAAATTCTTCAGATAATTTTGGAAAAACGTAAAAGTCATGTAGAACAGCAAATGATTCAAACCTTTCGTCGCAATAAATATCTATAGCATTGTCAATAAAATTAATACAGTTCAGCTCAATTTGTATTTTGTATGTGGTTTTAAATAGAACCAAAGGGTAATCTCCACAAATTTCGGTAGCTATTGGTATATTTTTACATTTACCCATGTAAACTTTTCCTTGAGACATAATGAACACTTCATTCAATTTAAAAATTATTTTATCAATAATTGACAGTTTAAATGGCGAGAAAAAACATCTACAATTTCATAAAAAATTAGTTCTTTGAGAAAATCAAATTTTATAGCTTACTCTTCAAAATCTTCAGAACTTTTGTTCCAGACATACAAAGTGTTTTTCTCGCTGACCAACAAAAGTCTAGGTGAAGAATTTCCATCAAATTCCGAATGAATAATGGATACATGTTTTATATATTGCGAACTGTAAGCATAGAACTATCAAATATATCAAATACGAAGGAAGATATCTTAATATATATTCAAACATGTATTTTCTAGACGGAACTCACCCATTTTTGGTTTGCCAGTATCTAGGGATTAGGTTTAATGGGAGTATAATTGTACGTACTTCACAATTATGATATAAATATATATTTTTTCGTGCTGTTGCGACCGCTATTGCGAAATTGGATGCTTCAACATATTCAATTTCTTCACCATCCGGGGGTTTAAACTTAAAAGTTACTAGTTTTACTAGCTTTGCATTTTCAAAAAAATAAATTACCTTACATTCATTCGTGGTGATAAATCTATGCTTTTGTCAAACTGGCTTTGCCCCAGATTCCTTCCCCAGACATGGAAGCAAATTTTAGTATAGGCAATTGAAAAATAATTTTTAGCTAAAATCCCTACTATCTTATCAATTCCAAATTGAAAAAATGGAACTTGTTGAAATGTCGATACTTTATCTAATGGTCGCTCGAGACCTAATTGATTATATTTATTAGATCCGCAAACATATACAAGCCCTTTGTTTGATAATACCATTGAGTGATATTTTGAAATTGAAATTTTTAAAATTTTTTCTTCAGAATATTTCATTTTTATTGTTACTTTACTTGGCACAATCAAATCATTTTCTGAACCATTACCTAAACGTCCCCATGCACCTAAACCAGCGGCATATAAAGCTCCTTTTTGATCCAGAAACATACTGTGAAAAGAGCTAAGCGCTACAGAATTAATTGATACATTATCTTTTACAAATGGATCTAAATTTGTTGGAGTTTTTGGAGAATAATTGTTACGAAACCCAAAATTATAACTTTTGTCGCCCCACACCAAGAGTTCTTTAATATTTGTTCTAAAATATGTAATAGAATTTCAATACAAATAGATATGTACATTAATATAGCGTTTTCTTTTAAGAGAATACATACGTAAGGTATAACTCTAGGGTTTTCTATCAGAACATTATAATTTGGACAAAAAAAACTTATGGATTTAGTATTACTTTAAATTTTAACCGCTTTCTAATACAAGAAGAAAATTTAATTTTTCCAGTAGTTTAAAAAAAAAACTTGAACATTATGACCAATTGTTCTAAAAGCTTATCTAACAAAATTATATATTCACTTCTCGAGATCATAAAATTTTCTAGTGCATTAAAAAATACATACATACATAGATATGTCATGTTATACACTTTTGAAATGAAAATGAAACAGAACTGTTGAAATTTGTTAAAAAAATGGAAATATGTAATACAATTATTTCAAAAATATAAAACAATTTTTATTGATCTGTTGTAGATTAGAATTTGAATGTGATTTTCAAGACAAAAATTCAAAAGAAAAATTTTATGGAAAAAGGTTAATCAACGAATCAAGGAAACAGAAAAAAAATTCCATTTCGATAAATTTATTAATAACTTATAAAAGAATTAAGAGACGAAAGGATTAATTTTACTATCAATAATTCAAACAAAAAATCAATTTTTACCCTATCTTTTTATTATTTACCCTATCTGTTAATTTTTTTAAAACGTTACCACATCATTAAAAACTTAGCATTTTTATGCTGCATTTTAGGAAAAAAACTTGATAACTAGAATTCATTGCTGAAAATATATGCTAGTTTATTTTATCGGTTGTTTCTGGCAACATTTATATGACAAGGTATAAGAAAAGCGTGCTCGATTTTTTCGATACCCGATTTACTTTTGTTTTACGTCTCCACTACGTATAAAACGCATTTAGGAAAAGTGTACAATGTCAAGAGCTTTTACTAAACTTTCTGGAATTTGATACTTTGTAAAATTTGCCACGTAAGCGCGTTATTGAAGTCACGAATATTTGACAAATCAAAAATGTTAATAAATTTTACATTCAGTGGCAGCACCGCTTAAAAAAAATTTAAAAAAAAATTGAGAAATTTTTTGAGACGCTCTTTGGTTTTTTTCTGCGTATTCAAAACGGTTTCAAAACAGTTTTTAAGTTAATACATCGTCGAAAGCTTTTCAAATACAATATAGAACATGAAACATTGCAACGAAAACGTTTTTTTTTACAATATGGAAGGCAGGGAATGTAAATATCATGTTCTGACAAAAAACCCTAGAATTAATTAAATTTGTATGTACATATTATGTGCTTACGTGTCCGAGCCTAAGCCTTTTTCTATCTTGCAAATGTCTTGAAATGGTTGATACATATCCTTGTCTAATATATCCATTCTAGCTCCATATTTTATTAATAAAACAGCGCAGTCAATATGTCCGTAAAATATAGCCCTATGTAAAGCAGTGTTTCCAGATTCATAATCTCGAGAGTTAATTGATGCTCTGTTGTCCAACAACCATTTACATAAAATATATTTTCCTGTTGCAGCAGCGATATGAAGTCCAGTTCTACCCTGAAACGCAAAGTAATAAATGTATAAGTATATAAAAAGTAACTTTGCCTGATTTTTACTAAATAGTCACGATTATTAGCAAAGTTTTGACAAATTAGGCTGATATAAACTGCGAGAATGTGATCCTCAATTGATATTTTCGTTAATGCCGATGTTATTTTTTGCCCATGACAAGCCTTTCGGCAGATTTTGGTGCAATCATGTTCTAAAGAGTCTTCCAAAACTTTTGCACTCATATTTGTACTGGCTTTTAATCGCGTTGGGCTAAAATATTTATGTATTTTATTTATATTTTATCAAAATGATATTGTATTGGTTGATGTGTACATACATAGAAAAATAAGTAATTGAAGAATATTCAAGCCGAACAAATGGAAAAAATTCAAACATGAAAACTAGGTACCAGAATCTTGGTGTATATGAAAAAATATGAACGTAGAAAAAAGAAAAAACGAAAAACAAAGAATATCGTTTCTTAATTGAACAATGATTTTATTTACGATATCTTGATTTTTTTTTATGATCATTTAAATGTATGTACGTAGGTATACAATACAAATAAAGATCAAACAAAATATTATGTACATATAAGTAGGTATTTATGTATGTATAAACATACTGAATGCATAAGTTCTTTCTTAATATTATATGGTGTTTGATATTATACGTTTATGAATAATTTTATGATTTGAAATTTTAAAAAGACAAAAATTTGTGCCATTATAGAAATATGTATATTTTATAATTATATATGTATGTATTAATGTGTATTATATGAATATGATATTACGAAAATTATGTAAATTTTTATTACAATAATTATCATTTACGTGAAACGTTTATAATGTGAACTGTAATATGTAAAATAGTAGAATCTTTCGACAGTTTTCATGAAATCAAAAGTTAGATAGGTAGAGGCACTAGTTTCCGAACAGTTGCAGTATCCGAACACTTCGTTGGTTTTTTATTTAAAATAAGATTTTTTCCCAAGAAATCGTTCAAACCAAAAACGCTAAAAAAAAGGTTTATCTTTTGGGCTAGTGCTTGTAAAATTTCAAATAAATTACTTTTATGCTCTTTGAATTATAAGTCAGTTTATGTTAGTGGTTTGTGAAAAGCGTTTGATTTGGCGTTTTTTTTGTAAAAAAAATAGTGGAACTGTGTGTGGAAAGTAAGCCTTTTTTTGGTATATTTTAAGGTCTATTTAGTGATAAGTATATATTTTCATTGGAATTTGCTTAATTTTGTTAATCCAACGATTCAAGGAACTTTGGCTGGGTAAAGTAAAGCCAAGAGTGTTTCGCATGAACTGGTAACATGTATTTGATTTAAAATTGATATTTTGTGCCAAGTCTCTTTGGTTTTCAGGCCACGTAACTGAATTTGCTCTAGGTGTAAGTAACATTTTACAAAAATCTTTTGATTGTTGATTACAGGATGGAACTGTGTCTATAAAACCATTTATATTTCGACTTTTATTTTTTAAGTTTCTATTTTCAATTACTAATTTATTGTATTTTTGAGTTAAGTCTTTGTATTTTTTGATTACTTTATTTCTTTCCTTCATGTAATAAATTTCGTTTTTTGTTCTTTTTTCACAGTTGTTGCAGTTTAAACTATTTTCTTTTTCGCTATAAGAATCTAATTTTTGTTTTTTGTCAGAAAAATCTTGAAATTCTTCGTATGATAAATCTGTATTTTGAATCGGAATATTTTTATCAGCGTTGTTGTCGAGAGTCCCTGAAAAGCATGGTTCAGTTTCATCAACTTTTATGTTTTTATTAATTAAATCATTGTCTTCGTCGTTAAATTCAAAAATAAACTTTGGATTGTATAGATTAAGTAAAGGTACTGCTTTTTTTCTAAGTTTTTGCTTTAAAATATCTGTTATTTTAAAATGTTTGGAGCATATATATTTATTTTGAGTGGAAAAACTTGAATTAAATCCACAGTTTTCTAACCAAGTTTGCTTTAAAGTAAAATCGGTGGGGAATTTAAATATTTTATGGGTCCTATTAGAGCTAGTACATTCCTTGGCACAACATTTTTTTAATTTAGTATTAGGAAAACTCAATAAATTTTTAGGAATCTCCCTATATTTAGGCTCCCAGTCAAAAATAGTTGGAATTGCATTTTTTTTCAAATATTTAGTTCCAATGCAATCTGAATTAAAATGCTTATTACATATGAATTTATTTTTTATTTTTTCTTGTTTCAGATTACAATTAGAAAGCCAAATATTCAAAATATTTTTTCGCTTAGGAAATTTAAAAAGTTTAAAATTATTATTGGAATCTCTTTTTTGAAAGCAATTCGAAATAACACACTTTTCTAATCTTTCTTTTAAATTAAATTTATATTTATATGTTTTGCATGCCATTTTAATCATTCGTGTTTTTTACAGCATAAGAACTTTTAATTCAAGCGATTAAATATCAACAGCCTTCGCTATTGTACAAACGCAATTATAATGCACATATAAAGTTCCAAAATTTTACAATTTCAATTATTTCAAACGAAAAAACATCGAAAAGCAGCGGTACGTACAAATACATATAATAATTTTATTAATATTTCGAATTTATGAATGTAGATATGTATACCTATACATATCATACATATGTATAACTTGAAAGAATGCAAAGAAGTAATGAAAAAACAAGAGAATAACGTAAAAAACTTTTATCTATTTGGTATACAAAAAATTTACGATAAAATATTGTGTGTATACCAAATTTTTGTGTTCTTTTTGTTGTTTTTATTCATAGTAATTTTTTCATATACACCAAGATTCTGGTATCCCATTACAGCAAGACAAAATGGAAAAAATTAATGTTGAGACCTCTTGGATTACTTATTTCTCTATGGTACATATCTTATCAAGACTTCAAATGTTAAAAAATAACTAATCAGGGCTGTCGTTTGATTTTTTCGTTGGTGAGCCGAAATATTCAAAAAAGGAAGTCATTTATAAAAAAGTGGGAGCCAATTTCTATATTTCATACAAAAACAATTTATTGACATAATACAAAAAAAAATCAAAACAGCAAAACAAAACCTTTAAACAAACATAATAAACAAAAAAAAAATAAAAAAATTCACATTAAGATAATATCACACTATATCACATGAATTTAAGATATATTCTTTTGCATTTTTCAAAGTTTAGAATCTGGTTATAGTGATTGTATAAGTTGCAATATTATCGCTTATTTTAAAAATTCTGCACAACGTGTTTCCACAAGTTCGGTTATTTCGCACTTTAACTGACTAATTGATTAACTTGACTACTAAAAAATATGTGGCGGCTGTTAATAGAAAAATAAATTAGTAGAAATTAGTAGAAGTTGTACTTTGCAAATATAAATTACAAGATCAATTATCGCCTATCCTACAACTGACTGCACTGATACTCATATCATTGCTTGACATTACAAAAATATCAAGCTTAGTGTTAAATACACTACAATTGTAGTTTTTTACTACATTGTGGTATTCTATACTACTGCAAAATTACTTTTAGTATTTTTACATTTATACTAGAAAATGTTATTATTTACAATCGTTTATGAAAATGTCATTAGTATTGTTGCTACAAAAGCCGCTTGCACAATAAAAAATTTAAACTTAGAACCTTGTTTGAAACGTTACTGCGACAGAAATTTCTACCGTTTGTTACACTAAATTTCATATTACCGAAAACTCACAGTTGTAATTTTCAATATGAAATATCCGTGCTCAATTTTAAAAGCGAGTACATTAAAGATGTAAGCTTATTAAAATTTGTTTTGAACAAAATTCCGTAAAATCGTAGACTTTATAAAGCTAAAAAATATGTACACCAGTTAATTTATAATAATAAATATAAATATAAATTAATATTAACATATAAATGTATCTGTTAAAATTTCATATGGATATTTGGCGAAGTATTTTTAAAATTTTTTTGATTTAAATGTTATAGTTCTTCGAATATTTTTTTTTGTTTTTACCTTTTGTACGCACGTTTGATTTGATTTTAATTTAAGTTTAAACTAATTCACACAATTTCATGTAAAGTAATTCATAATAATTTGACATTCTGTTCCAAGATTGCATCTTTTTGTTTTTCAATACAACTGTTTAAACACAAAGCGAAATTTTTGGTTGTTCTGTTTATTGAAAAGAAATACATACATATGTAGGTATGTATGTTGTCAAAAACGACATAACCACGCAATTTTTTTTTCACTTTTTTGAAGAGCATCGTAACTGCAAATAAAAATCGTTGTGTTTAGTTAATTTTAAAACAAGGCCGTCGTAATGCTAATCAACGTATATCAAATACTTCGTAAATCGAGGACCTAGTGTATTTATTACCCGCCGAATAGTCTGAACTGAGGCAATTAACCATCCTTTTTTATCTATCTAGCCGTGAAATTCGAAGTATTTTGCTTTCATATTGGACTCATAAAAGTGAAACGGTGCAATCTGGCACATTTTTTCAACCAATTTCCTCATTTTTCAAAACATGTAATATATGTAATTGCGTGACTTCGTTTCGACTTTTCTGCAGTAAAATTTACGAGTTTTCTGCCAATTTTGCCAATATTCGAAAACAAAGAAGCCAATCTCTTATTAAATGCCCCAATGCAATAAGAACTTAATTGGTACTAAAAAAATTGTTTTAAACTGTTCTATTGTAACAAAAAACAGACAATAACTCTAAAATTGATATTATTCCCATTCCCAAATATATTATCACTACTTTCACACAATTTTTTGAGGATTTATTCAGTGTGCCTTATGGAGTGCAAACGTACATATGTACATATTTAGCCTTAAATAAAGTTTATGGGACTTTTCAGTTTATCAAAGAAAAGCTTTATTTTTCATTAAAAATTAAGAATATGAGTTCAATTTACGATTTTATGTTCGCCGAGCAAAATCAAATTTTGATCGCCAATTTTCGTTTTTTCTTTTTAGTTTTGCAAAAATTGGAATTTAGAACATCATTTTTACTTAAAATTCACCTAAAATTTTAAGTGAACTCACGAAAATGTACTTTACAAAACGATAGAACATTTTTACTCGGATTAAATGCGAAATTAATTTAATAGTAAATTGTTGAACAAGATACATACATATGTATGTTTTTATACACAGTACGCGCAATGTACTACTAATGTATGTACACTCATCCCTCCAATTTTTATGAAAAAAAAAATTCTAGGAATTTTTTTGTTTAGATATAAATACATACATACATATATATGTATGTTAAATATTATGTAGACACATAAAAACCAATATTTTATATCAAACGGGGATCAGAACAAAATAATGCAAAGAATTTATGTATGTATGTAATTGCTTTTTTTCCAAGAATTACAATTTCTTGTTGATTCTTATTTTCTAATGTTGTAATAAATGCTACAATAATATTAAAATACTACCATATTTTTTGCAAATTAATAAGAGAAATATATGTACTTATATAAGTTTAGGTAAAAATATATGTATGTATGTGGTTGTAACGTCATGTAAGTAAAAAGATGCGATTTACGGACAAGATTTTCGGAACATATTAGTTCTGTATAGCTGAGGATGATGTATCATAAAAAATAATACAATCTTAAATTGAAGAATTACTCTAAAAGCCGATGAAATTGTAATTAAATAAATTAAAATGTAGTACTTACTATTTCTTAAGTTATCTTATTTCTGACATCAAAACCTGTTATAAAATTGCCACAGTGTATCTTAACAAGATTAAATTATTAGAACAAAATAAAGTATGATTCAAACACAGTAATTGTATAGTACATATACTTTATACAGTATATACCTGCAAACTTATAATAAATCAAAATTTGGTTAATTACCAAAAATGAATCCACATACATATACATACAAATACATTTTTGTATTGCAAATTTACAACTTTCTTATACTTTTTGTCTTATTTTAATGTATCATACCAGCTGTAAAATTGTAAGCAAACACTGAAATTTTTATTTTCCATATTTAGTTCTTTTGCCAGGTCGGCAAATTGAAATTAATATGAACTGGTCTACGAGATATTGTAATGATTTCGTCTTCACAATTATCGACGTTATAAAATTTTCCCAATTCTGCTATTGCTTTCTCTTCAATTTGCGTTAGTACTAGCGATTTACTTCGCACATGTTCTAAGTATTCTTTTTGACGCTTTTCTTCTTCAAGAATTTGATTGAGCTTTGATGAACACATAATCGAATTTTGCTTTGGAGTCGCTCCAGTCGATTTTTTAAAACTATTATTATTTAAAATATCGATATCAAATTTAAAAGATAAGTTTTCCGACTGAGCATTAGTTTCACAAAATTCTAAAGACTTCGGTCTAATTTTATCAGGAGTTGATCGAATAATGTCTGAAAAAGACGAAGAATGATCTAAATTACTAGGTGGTGTTGTTACGTTTCCCCAAACACTTGCTTTTTCAACTGGGATGTCGATAGGTTTGGTGGAAGATCTTAATTCTGCAGCAAAACTATCAAAACTTTTTAAAGATGTTTCACTTGATAAGCGTTTTCTTTGTTTTTGGGACATTTTGCTGTTCTTATATGGTGTGAAATCACCGAAATTTAAACTGTGGTGCGTTGTATATTCTTTAGTTTCAATATTTTCAATTTCTGATTTAATTTCGCTGTTTTTACGAGTAATTGTATTTGGAGGAGAACTTATAATTTTATTTAAATTAACAAAATTTTCTTTTTGTTTTTTCTCTTCTTTGAGAATATTATTTGCTTTGATATTTCCACCGATTGACTTTTTTCTTGTTTCTTCTTTTTTGTTTATTTTCGTCCATGAACTTGAATCTGCAATCAATTTCTCATTAATTTCATTAGCTTCTTTTAAAACGTGATTTATTTCTTTTTGATCCAATTGTTTTTCTTTATCTAACATATCTTTCTCATTTTCCATATTTAATTCTTTCAATTTACTTAATATTGCATCTTTTTCATAATTCCTTCGATCGCTTTTAAATTTTTCTTCTTTAGACTTTCCTTTTTTAACATTTTTTAAAGATGTCATATCATCTTTTAATTTATAGTCCAAATCAACAATTGAGTCACCTACAAATTTCAGTAGATCTTCGTCACTAATAGCTTCACTGTCAGGGGTAATTACTCGAAAATCAAATATATTTTGGAAAACTTGTCGATAATGCATGTTTAAATATTTTAATGTTTGCGGCTCACACATTTCTAAACTTCTTTGAAACAATACGCGACTCAAATTTTGGCATATAAAATCCATACAGCCACGTTTTAAAATTTCACAGTTATAAGCGACTGCAAATTCCAACATTTCACCACATCTTCGGATAGAAATTTTTTCTAAAACTAATGTTTCACAAAGTTTACGCAAACGATTTATAAAAAATTGGTCACATATTACTATCATATTGTATAAGAAATTTTCGTTATAATTTTGTTTCCTAAAGTTTTCAATGTCATTTGTGTAAAGAAAGTCTAATATTGGTTGCATATACTCAATTGGTATCGTCGTTAAACTAATGGCAGTTGTTTCACACCAACTGTTTGTAAACATCATATTGAAATATTCCAACCGAGTAACTAATACACATTTATGAGCTAACAGTTCTTGATTGTTGGCGCACTTAATTTTTACATCATACAACTCTGGAAAATTTAATCTTTTTATGCGGGTAAATCTAGTTTTTGTTTTGTCAAATGCTTTTATGTCCGAGTTCAAATCCAATATACTATTCCGAAATGGTGATTGAATGAAAATGTATTAGTCACTAAAAATTTTTTTAAGTTAAAGTGGTAAATTGAAATTACCTTTTGATATGCAAGACAAAATCCGTTAAAGTAAATTTCTCTGCTACTTCTATTAAAATATCTAATGCTTGAGACTCTTTTTCATTGAAATTTGTTAAAAAACTGTTGTTGATATCATCCATGTCTGTTAATTATTTAAAAGTCATATACATCATATTACATTATTATAAATAAAAAAATTATTATTTACCATCTAGTGTTAAAAAATAGTGGCAATAAATATGTTTAAGAATCATTTCAAACATCTTTGACGTGAAGTTCTTATAATTTAAATAAATATTTTTACTATTTTGTTGCATAATAATTTCTTTTAAGCCTTTTGAACGAGAGTAAATTATCAACTTGTGAGCGTAAAATACCTCGTTATCAATATGAAACACTATATCATGTATTGCATCGAATTCGCTTACATCATTTAATAATTTTTTAAAGTTGTATTCTTCAGAATGTAGTTTTGGCAAAACAAAATATTTCCTAGAGTGTTCTTGTAGTACAGCAAAAGATTCAAAACTCTCATCACAACAAATATCTACAGCCCTGTCTATGCCATCGACACGTGCTAATTCAATGCGTATTTTATAATCTCCATTGATATCCTTTTTGGTTTGATTACTTGAGAGCCATGCTGTTTCGCTTTCTTTTATAATGTTTGATATTGGTATTTTATTACATTTTCCAACAAACACATCTCCCTGAGACATAAGAAAAATCTGATTATGTTTAAAAAAAATTTTATCTATGACCGACAACTTAAAAGGGGAAAAGGAGCATCTGTAATTCAAAATTTTACTTTATTTACTCATTACAATTGATAATAATTTATCTACCTTAAAAATTGCTGAACGTCTTCGTACCAAATGTAGACTACATTGGTGTCACTAAGCAGTAGAAGTTTTAAAATTGGTTGAGATTTTTCTTTAGATCTGTTTTTTGTTTTTTGTATTTCAGGATCATATAAAGACAAGCTTTTCACAGCTTCTAGACTAAAAACAGAAACATTTATAATTATGTCGCACACGGAAATTTGCTCATTATCACTCACACGGGTGGTTTAATAACTTTAATTTTATAGTTGTAATATAAAAATATGTGTTTTCCTGTAGTAGATATCGCTAATGCAGAATTGGACGCTTCCACAAATTCAATTTCTTTACAGTCCGGGATTTGAATCTTCAGAATTTAGCATTATTCTAAATTTTGAAATATTTCAATTGGAAATTACCTGTTTTGGCAGTAAAATTTCTTCAAGACCGATACTGGAACACTGTCCTAAATTCTTTCCCCAAATATATATTTCAGCTTTTGTATAAGCTATTGAATAAAAATCCTTAGCTGAAATTCCTAAAATATCATTTATTGCGCATTGGTGAAAGTATGGAACTTCCTTGAATGCTAATAATTTCTCCGGTGGGGGTTTGATTCCTAACTGTTTAAATTCATTGGAACCACAAACATGCACAATTCCTTTATTTGTTAGGATCATTGAATGATATCTCGAAATCGATAACTTTGAGATTTTTTCTTCAGAATGTTTAATATTTATTTTGTTCACTCGCTTTGGCACAGCCACATCATTCTCTGAGTTAACACCTAAACGACCTTTTGAACCAGAACCAACCGCATATAAATGACCTTTCTTGTCAAGAAACATACCATGAAAAGGACTAAGTGCAAATGAAGTTATAGATATGTTATCTTTTCGAAATACATCTATAAATTGGGGAATATTTGCAAAATCGTTTTTACCAAAACCTAGATTATAATTCTTATTACTGCCCCACACAAGAAGTTCGTTAAAATTTGGGCTAAATACATGTTTGTGAAAAAAAATTGAAAATTGGGGATACTTATAACAGGAACATCAAAGTGCATTATTCAAATTACTTACGCATTCACTACAATTTCTTTCATTTTGCATATATTTTGAAATGGTCGGCATGTATCATTATCCAATAAGTCAAGACTTGATCCATATTTTATTAGTAAAACAGCACAATCAATGCATCCATAGAACAATGCTCTATGTAGAGCACTACTTCCAGACTCGTTATCTTTACTACTGATTGATGCTCCGTTATTCAAAAGCCATTCACATAACTTATATTTGCCTGTCGAAGACCCAATGTGTAGTCCAGTTCTACCCTAGAATATTGAGATTCTAATTAATATTGGAAAAATATTTTACGAGATTTTACTAAATAATCACGAATGTCAGCAAAGTTTTGACAGAGTTTGCTTATATAGGTTGCAAGAATATTTTCCTCAATTGATCTTTTCGTTAATGCGGTGGTTACGCTCTGTCCATGTTTGATATTTTTACATTTTTTTGTGCAATCATATTCGAAATTTTTTATATTCATCACAGGATTAAATTAAGTATTTTATATGAAAAAATCCTAATAAATTTAGTATGTATGTATGATATGAAATGTTTAGTTTTAGCACTACTACATAGTAATATTTATGTCAAAATTGATAAACGTGGAAATTTTCAAAATTTTTTCGTAAAGTTCTTAAACAAGATTTTGTTTCATAGCTTAATTTCGCAATATTAATAAATTTGCAAGATATTCTTTATAAATATTTACATACTATATTTAATATCGTTCTTATTTTTCAAAATAAATAATCCGGTTTTTTTTTATTTGTCAATTTAACTTTTTAGTACTGTCAAAAAATTAAAAATGCCATGAATCGAATGTTCGATAAAAATGCTTAAAAACGCTTATAGCGGAATATTTTTGTACTCTCTTATGTATAAAAATTGATTTACAATATTTTCACCATAGCCACGAACCTCCACAAATAATAATTCTCCACTATTTTCACAAAACGCAATTTCATACTTTTTATAACTGAATTAAAATAATTTCGTGAATAACTGAATAAAATTTTAAATCAGGTACTTTTTAAACGAATTTAATTAATCATTTGGATGTTCTCCGCTGTGCTGCGTTTATAAGCAAAGTATATCTATAATAAGTAGTACAACTCGTTCCATTGCCTTAGTTTTCGTTTGCATTTTGCTTCCAAAGTCTTAAAATATTCCATTTTTATTTAGAAATTGATGGCAATAAGAGTTGTGTAGGCAAGAAAGGAACAAAATATTGTAAACAAACGTGTGTATCAAAAACATTGAACTGAAATAAAATTAAATTAAGTTAGGTAAAAATTTTATTAGTTTTATTTTGATAACAAAATTATTTTTTCTTAATGTTAATTATAAATTACAGATAACAGGTGTGAATTGTACTGTTCATGATTGCAAATATTTTAAAGCTTGACGTACATATAACATAGGCATAGACAGTACATACAACAAAAGACCATACATTGTATGTACCTTACAAAACTTGAGAAAACTTTAAATATTGTAAAAATGATAATGTCATCATTTTCAGTAGTTTTTGTTCAAAAAGTAATGTACCAGACTTACAATTGCAAGTCTGGATTGTAAGTCTGGTTGACAAAAATTGTAAGTCTGAATTGTAGGTCTGGTACAATACAATAAAATATGAAATTTTTGACTTATCTATTGCTTGATTTTGTTCAAAAAGTAATGTACCAGACTTAAAATTGCAAGTCTGGATTGTAAGTCTGAATTGTAGGTCTGGTACAATACAATAAAATATGAAATTCATATATTCGAATGTTTTTACTTAACTTTTATGAAATGAAAAATAAAAAGTTACAAATAAATTTTATTGTTATGAAAAAAAAAAATTTGATGTTATAAAAATAAATATAACAAAATTTTCACCTGATTTAATTTAATTTTATTTCAGTTAGATGTTTTTGATATACTCGTTTGTTTACAATATTTTATTTCTTTCTTGTCTACACAATTCGTATTACCATCTATTTTTTAATAAAAATGGAAAATTTTGAGAATTTGGAAGTGAAATGCAAACGGTTTGGGACGAGTCGAACTAGTTTTTAGATAATATACTTTAGTTAAAATGACACATTTTTATTTTGGTGCAACAATAAATGACAAAATAAGCTTTAAATATTGTATTCGTTTTTGAAATTTGAATTCTCAGCAGATTACAATATTTACAACACTTTGTTTGTGTATAGAACACTTTTTCCAACACACTATAAGTTGGAAAACGTATTCTATGTTTGATAAGTTCTACAGGATTATAACTTGAAAGACTAACTTTTTGTAAATTAATGGCCAAACTGAAGTCTGAGTTGACATAAACAAACCAGTACATTTTTTAATGCTTTTTTTTTAAATGTGCCTATAGTACGCACTGCAATTTGTAACCTTTTCCTTTTGCGTTGTTGCAACAATTTTTTTGAGAGAGACAGAGAGAGTCTGTTTTTATAAAAAATAATATTGTAAGCATAAAAATAAAACAATGAACGACGATATCTGTTGTTAACTGAGAACAATAGCAGAACGACAAAACTAATGGCTACTCTTGAATGGAAACAGACTATGCCAAGAAAAGCGTCAGCGATAAAATAGGGATTTAAGGTATTTAACCGCTGGCGGTAATTTCCTTTGACTTTGATTCTGGTATTTTTTAAATGTGTATATTCTATATGAATTCTAACATTTCAACGTGAAAAATCGCTCTTGTCCTATTTTCAACTTAAACTTGCACGAATTTTCTTTTTATTTAAATAAGCAGAAAAAACTTTACGTTATTATAAAAATTTAATTAATTGGTTTTAGTTCAGTTTGGAAGTTAACCGAAGACTTGCATAAGTACATAAGTAAGTGAATAAATAGGGTATCTTCGAAATTGCATCTACGAAGCATCAGACACATTGTGTCATCTCCTGAAACATTAGCAAAAGAATGTGACGATGCGTTGTGTTCAGAATTTATTTGATTTTGTGTTTGCGAAGTTGTCAACCTTGAAATATTTGTCAAATTGTGTATCAAAATTTTTAAGATGCTTATATGTTTTTTATTTAAAATAAATTGAAGCAAAAAATTTTCTTATTAAAATAAGCAATGAAATGAAATAATATAAAGCACCAAGATTTTTAATGTAAAGTAATGCAATATGTCAAAAAAATAAATTGTATCAAAAATTAAATTGAAATTTAACATTTTTTTGATTTTGTCAAAATCGTACAACTTTTATTTGATGATTCCGAACAAACCCACATTTTACATTTTGGGGAAAGAATTGTGGAAAAACGAAGTTAAAAAAGGTGAATAATGACAAGATTTTAGTTTATTTTTTTGGAGAATTTTTAAGGAATTAAATCAAGAGTCAGGTTTGTTTCTTTTGATTATATTGTTTGATATTAATCTTTCTTTTGATTATATTGTTTGATATTAATTTTTTTTGAAATCTGATTATATGTATGTACACATTTTTTATTGTATTAAATAAAAACTTATAATTTTAAAGAAAACAATATTTTTAATACATAATAAAAATTTCTACAATTAATTAATCTTTATAAATTAATAAATATAAAACAAATTTTAAGGAAAAAATAAGAAAATGTAAATTAAAACAAGTTAAAATTTATGAAAATCGTTAAATTTGTGTATGATTGAAATCTTATTGACTATTTGTATTGATGACATTAGCTGAAACTTAATATTTTTTTGAAAAATTTAGTATTTATATGTACATTAGAATCAAAGTATATCTACTAACAAGTAGTTCGACTCTCCGTTTACATCACACTAATGCAATCACTCACCAATATTTGTATACAAAAAATTCCCTTAGTTAAAAGAGTTAAGCAGTATACTTTCTTATTTTCATTTTTATACACATAAGAATTTTTGGGAGAGGGAAAGAGTACGCAATAGATGTCAACCTGTTTTTTTATAATGTAATTTTGAAAGGAGACACTTTATTATTTGTTCCTATATAAAGTATAAGGAAAAATATAAAGAATTTTAAAAGCGACACAATAATTTCTGTAATTCATTCCAGTACAAGGTGGCAAAAAATGTGTATTATATTATAAAAGCGAAGAAGAAAAAAAGTGTTTAAAAAAATTATTATAATTTATATAATATAATTTTTAAAAATAATAAAAATAAATTTTGAAAAGACGTACAATATTAAAAAAAATTTAAATGGTTGTGAAAAAAATATTTTTTTTTATAAAAATGGGTAAACATTATTTGAAGTGTTTGAGATGAAAAAAAGCCGAGACGAAAATTTCATTTGTTGCCAAAAGATGTGAAGAGGTAAATATGTACTTTTGAAAATATTTTAAATATTTAGTGTTAGGCATTTGTAATTAATAAATAAAATAAATAAATTATCTTTAAATTTTTTATTTTTATTTCAATCTTAATAAATTTAGAATATATTTCCCATGAATAATATATTTCCCGGTAATAATTATATTTCATAAAGTAATCTGTATGCATACACCTTTTTTTCTTTATAAATTACTTTATTTCTATGTCACTACCTGATACTGTGTAGATCTACTGTACCAGGTACATGCATGTGCACATTCATACATAAAATTTCAAACTCTTTTGCTTTCATACATTCGAATTTTAAAAAATGAAAAAATAAATTTTGTTATTATCAAAACAAAAATAACAAAATTTTTACCTAACTTAATTTAATTCTATTTCAGTTCAATGTTTTTGATACACTCGTTTGTTTACAATATTTTGTTTTTTTCTTACCTACACAACTCTTATTACCATCTATTTCTAAAAAAAAATGGAATATTTTAAGAATTTGGAAGCAAGATGCAAATGAAAACTAACGGAATGGAACGAGTCGAACTACTTGTTAGTAGATATACTTTGATTAGAATATTCTTGTGTTCTCTTTTCTTGTATAATTACATCAGCGTTAGTAATTTGAGAATTGCATGGGGTAGTTGCACACTTTTATTCTGATGATGGTTTAAATTTTTTTGAATGCCAAGAATATAAGATTCTCGTAGAAAACAAACTATTTCCATTTAAAAGCTATACTGCTAATTATGACCGATTTACAAAACTCCCATCAATCGCATAATTATTTAAAAACTACTTCCATTTGGTACGTACGCAATGAGGTTGGTTTATTTTGAGTTTCGAATCGCTAAAAAAAGTGATAATGTAGTTGAGTTCCATTTATGTATGTACATATGTATACGTGATTAAGAAATGATTAATTTTTTTTTAACAGATTTTGTTATAAATTTACAAACATATGTAAGTATGTATTATCTTTAATGTTGTGATATAAAAATCAGAGACAGAGTTATGTAATCATTTTCAATTATTAGGTCCCATAATAAATTGTAATAATAATAAACAATAGTACATTTTATTGTTTTCATTTAAAAATTATATGAAAAAATCGCGTAATAAGTTTTGTTTAATATAGTTAATAGGTAAATTTAAAAATGAATCGATGCGATAGGGATTTACTATTCCACTTAATTTCTATAAATTTTTAAAATTTTATATTGCTTAATAGAATTTTTAATTAGCTTGTATTTTTGTCATCTTTACAAATTATCAATTACACACTATTAATAATTTTAATAAATTTTTCACTTGTATAGGTGTAAAACTATTGTTTATGTATAGTAAAAAAATTTGTTTAATATTTTTAGAAGCATTCCTTTCTAAAAGCAAAACCATATTGATCACATTTATAGGACAATGTTTTTCCTAGTTGTGGAGGTCCACAATAAAATACTGTTACTTTTCCTTTCCTTTGATCGCTTATTTGCTTAAAAACTTTATCCCAATTTGGACGTCCAGCATTTGTTCTTGTTTTTAATCCAGTAATAAGATCTCTTTTTTCCTAAATAATAAATAATTTGTTGAATTTTAATTTACAATATTTGTTTAAAATAACAAATGAACCTTTTCATGTAATAGATCCAATGCTAATTGTAAACCAACCGCTTTCATATCTGTTTTTTGCAAAGCACTTGTAATATACATATGCATATCTAGAAAACGTTCCATGGCACCACCCAATTCAGCTTGTTCGATCTCTAATTGGCTAAGTAAATTAACAAACCATTCAAAAGATCGTTGATCCCTATTAATCCAAAAGAAATCAACTTTTCTTAAATTCATAACTGATTTTGGAATATCACTGGCCCATTCATACTGACACCTTGGACAAGAATGTCTTGCTTTCCAGTATCGATGCATTATTGATTGTAATATGGATGCAAATGGTGTTACTCCAATACCTGTTCCAATAAGAACAGCATGTTGTGCGCGGAATATATGACTGGATGGAGCGCCGTAAGGGCCATCAATGAATATCTAAATTTAAAATGGATATGCAAAAATATAACATTATTAAATTTTTAGATTGTGTCTTCTAATTTAAATTTAATTATTTTTAATTTATGCGTAAATCTAATATCAGTTTGACTAATTCAACAATATTGCATAATATTGTAATATTGCATAATTTCATACGTCAAATTGATTTTGGATTTGAATTAAGGTAAGCTTATATTGGAAACTGAAGTATAATTTAGACTGAATGAAAAAATTTAAAAAACAAACAACTTAAATATTTTTATAAAAATATTTTATTCTATATAAACATTAGAGGGGCCCGTAAAGTTTACAAATAAAAATACGAGTGAAAATACTAGGTACTGCATTTAAAATATAGGTAAGGGCTACAGATTCGCTGACAGTTTTTAAGTTTTTAGTTGTGTGACAAATTTCCTTATAAAATTTTAATCGCAGAGATTTGAAAACAAAAATCGTCCAATATGAGTTGAAAATGCAATAAAAAATTTTTATGTTTCTGTCAACACTTCATAGTAAATCAATCTAGCTCTCAGAAATTTTCGATGGTAAGTTAGATTTATATATGTTTTCAAGTCAGACTTTTAATTCTAGGCCACTAGCAACTTATAAATTTGAAATATAATTCAAAATTTCATAATTTTTTAGAATGAAACGCCAAAAACGCTGGTGCAACGAAAATTAAATTTATCGCAAACCTATTTTTATTTTTAATGTCATTAAAAATATTATTATACCAAAAACAATTTACATACTATGTGGTATTTGATTGATTTTTTTTTGTAAAATTTTTAACAAAAAAATTTTTTTTGTTTTTGCGTTTAGCACTATGTAGAATTATTAACGTGAAAATGTGCAACATTTTCACAACATGAATTAAAAAGTTTTAAACTTTCAAATTATAAATTATGTATTAATTTCAAATGCTTTTCCAGCATTAGAAAAATGCTTTTCTAGCAAAAAAATTATTTATGCTGCTGGTAACGCTAAAGGGAAAGATTAGTTAACTTGATCTTGGCGTTGCATTATGGCAGCGTTGTAAATTCATATTGTGATTAAGATATTTGTCATTAGTTGGCTTTTATTGCTTCGCGCCAGAGCTATATTGCACTGTGAATCTTGTGAATACTTGTTTAATTATAATTGTTTTAAAAGTCTAGAATTTGAAAATTGAAGTGTGTACGGTTCAGGTATGTTTTCTACAGTAATTTAGACTTATATGTACATATATTACCAAAATTATCGTTGTACAATTTACACACACATAGGTTTTAAGCCTCTTAAACTAAATATGTACATGTTTTGTTTTATGAAATGTAAATATTTTAGTAGAGAAAATTAAAATATAACTGTTAATTATAGTGTATATGTATTGATGTATATTGTATATAAAGTATATATGTATTTATGAACCTTGACTCTTCGATCAAGTAGTATATAATTAACATTTTCTACATCTACAACAATTAAGTCATCTTTATTTGTTTGAACCCGTCTCCGTTTTGATTTTGATCTAAATGATGCCAAAAGTTTGTTTCCCCAAGATTTTCTTTCCTTCAAAATAAAACATACGCATTAAAAATAGAAAAATGATATAAAAATTTATTAATTTCTTTATTTTAAAATACAACGACATGAAACTAGTATACATGTATATGAATATATATATATATATGTATATACATATGCCATTAACCATAATTATTTAAAAATTGTATTTATTTTATAGTATTTAATGACTAACATGAATATAAAGTGATTTTATATGTAGTATACATATGGTGTAATAGTTTTAAGATCCCTTATGCAGTTTTTTGGTTATAGGCATATCAAATTAAGGATATCCACCCTTTTATCAAGTACATCGTGTGTATGTATGATTTTTATATTGAACAATGACATAATTACAAATATTCAAGTTATAAGATTATATGTTTATACATAAATAATAAACGAAATTTTTAATAAAAGAGTTAAATTTTCTTGAAAATTCTGTATTCTAATATTAAAATTAAGAGTTTTACTTAATCAATCATTAAAATTAAACGTTTAAGAATAGTTTTTAATTTTTAAAAATTCTATGTCGATGTTACAGTAAATTCTATGTTACAGTAAACAATACAGAAAAATTTGATATAGTATAAATTATGTCTCTCTTTCATTTGGTAACTCTGTCAGATTTCAAACACTACCGAATGTCATTGTCAAGTGCATGCGTATACCTATATAATAACAAATCGTTTTTTGGAATAAATATTTTACCGTTACACATTATAAATATATTTGTTTTATGTTATTTTGTGAGTAAATTTAAGTATGAATTAGACTAAGTTAAACTAGAAAAGTTAACAAACCTCAAGTGGTTTTCCAACGGGATAATTAATACCTCGTATATGTGATGTTTGACTTTGTCCACCAGCTGCTAATTTTGTTGACTGTGGCGATAAAGAAGTTGATGAACTTTCTATTTTTCAAAAAGAAAATATACGAAAAAAGGTAAGGTTGAATAAGTAAAAAAAATAATATGAATTTTGATTTTTTATTCAATAAAAGATATTCAGGAATAATTAAAAATTAGGCAAAATCAACAATAATAATTATTCACTGAAATTTTTTCTGATTACAATTTTTTTCTAATAATTATACCTGTTGGGATATTTCGTATTATTTTTCCTTCTTCTGCTTCTTTTTGTGTATAAAGTCCTGGTGAAACAACTAAAAAATAAAAATGTTCCGTTATTTGTTACATATTTACGAATGTATGCACGTCATAAATATTTTAATTTATTTCAGTAAATATTTCAATAATTTTCTAAAATTCTGTTTTAAAAATTGGTTAGTTACTTATGATTGAGAGTTTTCAGACTTATGATTGAGAGTTTAATGCCGTTATTTTGAAGAACAGCGGTTTGTTTTCTATTTAAATTAAATTTTACTGTAGTAGTTTATGAAAGTTATACACCACATACATACATCTGTATACTTGTTCTTTTTATGCTTACTCATTGATTCAGAAGAAGGTCGTTGGTCACATTTTTCTAAACTAGGAGTTTTAAAGGCAATAATTGTTGGTTTGTTTCTCATATAACGAAAACTTTGAGCTAATGATTTATTCTGTGGGCTAAGGTATGCTAATCCAAGTGTTTGTTGGCGAGCTCTGCGGATTTTTGTTTCATCAAATGTTTTCTCTGAATTCGACCTTTGATATTCCCTTAAACTTTATAGAATAAAAATACAAAAAAAAGTATTATTATATAATCATGAATAATTTAATTTTTATTTTGAACTTACTGCATCATTCTTTCACGTTTTTTCATTCTTGTTGTGACATCTGGCATTGATAGACTTTTTTCAAGCGGGGCCTTGTGGAACAATAAATTTTGCAATTTTTTTTCTGGTGTAAGTTTTCTTCTCGCCGGCATTGCTCTATTTCGAGTTGAATCTTCAGTATCCGTTAAAGATGATGGATCATCTGCGTCACTTCTTTTCCTTGAAAATGTTCTTTGAAGGGATGCTTTAAAATTTTTAATTGCTTTACTTTCTGTGATATAATCAATACTTAAACGTCGATTCGATGTCGAAGCAGATGTTTTATTTGTATTTTCGATATTATTTGATTCGGTAACAGTATTATTAATTCGATTGGATTTCAACAAACCTGTTTCATTTTTTTCACTTAATTCGGCAGCTTTGTCAATTGCCTTACTACGATTAATAGCTGTATCAAAGCTATCTGCATGACTGAAACGTGCTATATTTTTTGTTAAGTAATCTTTTTGCTGGCTATCGTTATCCTTGTTAACCATTAAAACATTATCTTGTATTTCTTTTAGACCATGAGGTGAAATTTCCCCATTATGTAAGCGTTCTTGTTCTTTTTCAAAATATTGATATAAACGATTAGTCCATTCTCCAACAGCTCTAATATGTAACCATATATAATCATCTTGCTCTGGAGCACTACTAATTGTAAATGGATGCCATTCATATCCAGCTATTGCTGGTACATTTACAAAAACATAATCACCTGGTCTAAATGTAAAATGTAAAGGTTTCTTAATAACCAAATGGGTAACTTTTGAAGGTAGTAGAAGTCCAGAACTTATGTATGTATTACCACGTTCAGATTTCATCCACACAAAACGCATAGTTCTTTCAATTCCATATATAACACCAGGTAATAGAAACCATTTCCAAAAGTTTGGTCCATGTATTATTAAAAGAATCCAAAATGGTACGTAAAGTAAATGAGTCCAATAAAATAATTCAAAACTACCTTTCTTACGAACTCGAGGCTGCGAGCATATAAACATAATCAATAAAATGAAAAATAATGCGAATCCTGTTAAATTTGCCCAACCAGGTATTAAACCTAGTATACCTGGTGCTGGTGTAAATAGCCATTCCACAGCAGTAAAATTTTTTAAATTTAATGGATCTGTATAATTACAATCACCGATTGTAGTAAAATTTTTTCCAGTTTGCGGATCAAAATGCCATTCTACATCATTTCGGTATTCGTTATCATTAACAATTACTAAATTAAAATTTAATAAGTGTGCTATAGTATGGACCAAACTAAAGAAACATATTACGATCCCAGTTATTTTGTGCAAATAGATGCTATGATCCAATGGTAAATATGAACCAAGACCTTTTGATCGGAGGAAAGTAAGAGAATGTCGTAACATTAATACTAAAACCCATGCACTATTAAAATTAAGACATTGTCCTATAAAATAAAATTTAAAAGTTATTAAAGAAAAACAAAAACAACAAAATTTATTTACCGCATCCTCTTGCTATAATTGTGTACCAATTTGAACATCTATATTCAACAGCACGTGCAACAAACAAAGCAACGTTAATTAATATATAAAGTGACACAAAAATTACCAAAGCTGGATTATTTTTTACATAAGCCGTTGAAAACTGATGTGGAAGCGGAAATTTTTTATGTTTCTTTTTTTTTTGCTGTTTAACATCTTGCGCCAATGGAACTAACCAACGATCAATCCTATGTATATATAATTATATAAGAATACATCCAAATTTTATTGAATAATTTTTGCAAAATTTTTTATCTAATAAAAACAATTTTGTGAAAAATTAGTAAAATTTAATACAGGAAATAAGAAAAAAGTGTGTGTCAGAAATTAAATTAATTTGTCAAAATTTTTAAGGATAAAAGATAGTATTTAAAAATATAGAATAAATTATTTAAAATAATTTAAAAATACAGAAAATATTGGGAAATTAAAATTAGCAAATTCTATAAGTGCGTAAGTTAATTATTACCTTTTTTTTCTACTGTCCACCTATTAAGATAAGATGAAAATGAAATGCAAATTAATAATGATTGATGGTGATGATTCTTAAGTTTTTAGTATTACATAATATAGGTATCAGTAAATTGTTATAAAATTTCATTAAATGCTTAAGAATTGTCTGGTATCTATTTTGGGTTTACTTGGTTTTAGAATGGCGAAGTTGTGAACCGTAATTTTTGAGGAATTTTCTTTTTTTTTTGTAGAAGAGGATTTTCAGTTTTTTTTGCTAACTAAATAATATTTGGAAAACGCTGGAGGCAGACTCCGATAAGATTGAATTCGCTAGAAGAGGGAACTTTCATATTTTTAAGTGTCAATTACCAATAAATTTAATAGATTCAGTGACATTGGTGCGATTTTAAATGAGGACAACACAGAAGAATTTGCGATGTAATAAAAATTTTCTGAAATATTCTGTTTAAATTTTAAACTATGATTTTTTGCCGACAAACGGAAGATTATCAAAAAAGAAAAACTATGCTGTAATTTTCTTTTGTTTGTATATTGCCTGCCTCTGGTAAAATTCGATTAGCGAGCATTTCAAGGACTTATTGGGAAAACACTCATTCTAAAATAAGAAAAAATATTTTAACGTCCCATACTCATGAGTTATATTCTACTTACATATTTGTTTTTTTCTTATTTATGTATATGTCTACTTACGTTATACTTATATTATTTAATAATGCACCGTGTTTTTCCAGTTGATTTTTTAATGCTTCATATGTAATTGCACCTCTATTAAAAGGATCTGCATCTTCAAACATAGCGGTTGTTAAGTCCTCAATCTATGATATTTAAAATGAGTTACTTATTTAACTTTCAATTGAAAAAAATATTTGCTTTATTTCATAGAAGTTAACTTTAGACAAAAATTATCGACAGAAGACTTAGAAATTATTAAAGATATTGTAAAAATTCAGTCAAATCAAATGATAAATAACGCTCCTATACCTGTTCATTTGAAAATTTCATTCCATTTTCTTCCATGCAAGCTCGAATAACATCATGAAACTCTGAATGTTGAATTAATCCATCACCATCGATATCATAAACTTTAAATAAGAATTTAATTTTATCTTCAGGTGATTGACCAGAGAATTGATGCATAGCATCAATAAATTCTTCTAATGAAATTGATTGTGAATTATCCTTGTCGAAAATATCAAACACACGATTTGTAAAAAATTCCTGCAAAATAAAACAAAATATTGTATGTAAAACATATGTATATAGTTGCATAAATCTAAGTATGTATTAAAGCTGGGCCTCTATTGCCTGGGAGTTATGAGTTACCTCAGAATTTCTCTGTTATGTCAAACTAAATCCTGTTAAAAATATATGGGTTTCGTTTCAAATTTTTTTTTTCAGTATTGAAGAATAAGAAATTACAACATTTGTGTCTGATTATTTTCTGATTATTTTGTGCAATAGCATTGTATTGAGCATATGAAAAAAAGGGTCTTTATTTTTACTCGTATTTCGTGAATGTAATTTAATTATTCTTTTTTTTGTTTCCTTTGTCCGTTTATATCATTTTCTTTCATTCCCTTTTGAACTGAACAAGAAACTGAACAAAAATTTATTCTTTAGGTGAAAATGAAAAACACATTATTGTATACATATATGTGTACATATGTTTGTACATATGTATATTCAATTTCATTTGTGACTATAGAACAGTAATCTTATCTGTGGAAAAATTAGTACCTAATAGGTATTTGGTAAAATTTGTAGGAAAAATTTTTGAGCAAAGTTGGAAAGGTAAATATGGAATTTCACCTAGTCACTATTCTTTTGGCTTGATGCCATTGTGGCTTAAGTTAAGTAATTTTTAATTACATTTTTTGATGAGACAATTTTTTTAAATTCTTCACGTTTGATTTCCTTCTCATTACCAACAGTTTGACGGAAAAGTTGTACTAAACGATCCAACGAACTCTTATCAAATCCATTTCTTGAACTGAAAGAAATTAAAAATAAAATATGTAGTTAAAAACATAAATTGAAAAGTTTCGATTTTTTAATATTTTATTTACTTAATTTCTTCTTTTAATAAATTCGATCATTTTATGTTACAATTGTAACATAAAAATGAAGAATAACCTGATTAAAAAAACTGATTTACAAAAAAATTTATTAAAAAAATGTGAAATAAAGAGCTCCAACAGCTTTAGAAATAGAAGACTTTAATCAAATAAAAAATAAGAAAAACTTTTATTTTGGCAATCATTTAGCCACAAACCACCTATGGTCCGAAAAAGTTCTATATATGATTTTGAGGTATCTTATATATTAGATACAACCGGTATGATATTATGTGTAATTATAATATTATATAAACAGATATCTACGAGTAGAAACTTAGTTTTTGAACTTTTTGGAACTAGGCTGAATTTTACTGTTTTGAGTTGTTTATAATTGGTTCAATCTGCAATGCAGGCATCTACCTGAATTCATCTGAAAAACTTGATGCAATGGATTCACATGAACAAAAAATATTAGCCGACATAGAATCGTTTTGGTTGGATTCAAAGCAAGTGAAGAAATTATTCAGTCAGTTCATACATCAATATTAATTTTTAATGTTGTTTTTGGCAATTGATTATGCAAATTCTTATTAAAAATATTGTGGATTACCATAAAATTTTGATAGACTTTGAATAGTATGCAAAAACTTTGGATAGTATACATTTTATAATATAAATTTATAAATAAATTTTTCGCCGACTTCCAAAATTTGGTGAAAATTGTGAATGTATTGTATTTTTACAAAATTTTTAAGAATATTTTTTAAGTCGCAAATTATTTGGCAACTGGCCTCCATTAGTACCCAAATAAAGAGTTGTTATTAAAATACAATTACTTTAAACGAAAATTGAATAGAACAGTAATAGAAAAGTGATTGAAAGAAAGATTTTCAAAATTTGACAAAAGGTCGTATATTTGCTAGACGATATTTTTTACAAAAGATCGTATATAATTCAAAGGGAATTAAATTATATATGTATAAATAAAGATTATTTTGGTTATATTATGCAACTGTAAGGTATACAAAACAATGAAGATATGAATATATATAAAAATAATAACTATAATATATGTATAATATTAATAATAATGTCCTTTACGTGTGTATTATTCAATTATCAATTAATTCAGATTATTTTCTGATTTTATCTTGAAAGTACATATTATAATATTAAAGTTCATATTAATGTACATGTGAACGTATTCATACAATAAGAAATTTTCAAAATATTGAAGTCAAGAAAGCAAAGTGAAATAAATGCGACAGTTAATTCACATACATATGTATATACATATTATACATATTCTGTGAAAGAGCAGAACGAATTTGTATAACAGATTTTACATTATTTTCTTGAACTGGTTAGTGTGAAAATTGAAGTTGATACACATAACACTTATATTTCATTTTGTTTCTTCAATCCTGATTAATATTTTGAAAGAAGATACGTTTTGTTTGTTAATATTTTTAAATTCTCGCTATACGCACTTATTTATAAAAAAAATACCGTGAGGCTTAGATGTACAGGATAAAAAAAATTCTTTTAAGTCACGTTTTACATTTAATTTACGAGAATAAGGAATTAATGTCGTTATTTCGATTTTATATAAAATATAAAAAAAATTCTATCCCTTCAAATCATGTCATTAAAATTTTCAGTTTTTTTTTCATTTTCCACTTAACATTTATTATGTACATTTTGACACTTTTTCATAAAAATGAAAATCTTATAAGCTATTATTAATCTTTTTACCAACCGCATTGCATACAGTAAGGGAGGTTATGGGATGGCAACAAATTTTGGATATCGTGTTTTCGGTCAGCACGCACTTCTCCATAGTAGGGAAGCATAAATAAACTAGTTTCAGGGAGATGTCAGTCTGTAGGTCTGTGTGTGTACGCGTGTTTCTCTAGTTCTGGTGAATCGATTTTGATGATATTTTTTATGTAAGTTTATTTTGGCTATGGCACGGATTGATAAACTTTTGGAATATATCAGACTTCGGGAACTGTATCTTTTTACGGGCCAATTTTACATTTTTGCGTATATAAAGAGAAATAATTAACCAATTTCCTTGATTTTTTCAGGGAATTCGGGAGGCACAAAGCGAATCTTTTCTAAGAGCCAAATTTACACTTTTCTGGGTATGCTAACTAAAAGCTTTCTAATTTCCTTAAAATTAAAAAAAAGTGTTGAAAATGCATTTTCATAGTCTTCTGTAACAGTTTTACTAAACTAAATCGACATTTCGGTCAGTTATGTGCTGACCACAACATATTTTTATAACCGTACGAACGCGTGTTCGAAGGATATACTCAATTTGCTTTACCGTTTGTATTGCTAAGAAATAATGGTCTGCGATATGGACTGAAGCATATGTTTTTGATCAGAGTCGAATTCTGAGTCGATTTAGCTCCGTTCGTCCGCCCGTCATTCCGTCCTAACGATAACTCAAAAACAAATTGAGCTAAGTTCACCAAATTTTCGCAAAAAATTCATTATAATAAAGGCCAGAACTCCATTTTAATTGGTTATGATCGTGGTACTGGTTCGGATACCTGCCATACAACTTCCAAATTTTTTTGTTAATATCTTAGAAACCATAAAAGCTGTGGTATTGAAATTTCACACAATCAAATATATTAGTAGGGCCAATGTGTTTGATAAAAGTCGTTGAAAATGCTTATTTCCTTCTGGTATCTGCCATGCAACTCCAAAGGTTATTTGGCATTATCTCAGAAGGTATTGGAATTATAATATAGAAATCTAGTGAAAATAAGTGTATTATTAGAGCTGTTATGTGTGATAAAAAACGTTGAAATTTTTCGACTCCTTGTGGTCGCTGCCGTACAACTTCAATAGTAGTTTAAACTTAGTTAGTAAAAGTACACAGTACTAAACTTTTGCATAAATTAATATGATGATATAACAACTTAAGGTCATAGTCTGTCTTATTCATAACTCGCACATAGGGAAAAAAATTCGTACAGATCATCACAGAGTTGATGTCACAGATCATGTCACATACGTCACATATTTATCAATTCATATAGGATATAACAGTGACATTGGCACACTGTCTCTCATTTAGAAAAAATCAAAGATTAAAAATATAATTCATTTAAATAATTATGTATACATGCATAAGAGTAAATAAAGGAAAAGTAAAATAAATTCTCTGAAAATAAGAAAATTTAATTTTTTATATTTTAGAAAGAAATTCTATGATAATTTTATAAGATCAATTTTGATTTGATTTTTATCAAATTATTTTTTAATAATTTATCAAATAGAATATTTAAAAAGAAAGAATCTGATTTGATTAACACATAACCGAGTGTATTGTTGAATAAGTTCTTTAAAAACTTTTTTCAAAATTCCATGAAATTTATTTAGTAGCCTTTTAGTTGATGATGATGAGTAACCTACATATATATAGGTAAATAAAAATTTGGTTCTTAGTTGAAATTCATTTTATATGACCGGAATTTTCTGCAAAGTTTTCCGCTCAATATGCCGTTAACAACCAAATCGAAAATATAAAAATAGAAGATTTTTCTTACAAGAAATTTTATAGATGTGAAAAATGCAAATTTAGCCCATAGTAAAGGTTCTGTTTTCAACTTATGACACTTTCAACAAATTTACTTTTAATTTATTATTTTAATAACCACACTCGAAATAATAGATTTCAAGGAAATTGTTAGATTATTTCTTTGTATATAACATAAGTAAAAACATGAAATTGGCCACTAATTTACTCAAAAGATTAAAAGTCCTGTAGTTGTGCAAGACAAAATCAGAAAATTTTATGCGAATCTGTTTAATATTTTCTTAATGATGACGAAAATTAAAATCGTACCATACAGTAAAGTTTCAGTTCGTCAGATCTAATATGTCCTAAAAGTTGATTAAATCACCAATGCAATTCCAAACTAAACTCTTATAACGATATAAATTTTAATGATAATGCAACTTGTTTTTCTTAATCATTACAGATTAAATTTAATACAAGGTTAAAAACTCTTATTTTTTAAAATTATATTTCTGTACACTATGAAACTGTGTATGTTTATTGTGTATTAAAATTTAAAAATTTGGGATATCTATTTAGTTGGTCTCTTATTTATACAATATGTATTGGGCTCTTATTTTCTTCTAAAATACACGCACGCATACATTAAATGCATACATTTTAAAATAACAATCACATTACATAATAAGATTTGCAGCACTAAATACGGTAAACATGCAAATACAGTCTTGATTATTACCGGATGATTGTTACATGTCATCTTTGGTTACACCATGGCGACATTTCATGAAAAAAAAATTTTTTCCTTAATGACATTATAGTGAAGTTAAACATCGTTTTTTCTGGCCCACTTTTATATTATAGAAATTTTTTTTTTTTTTGTATAGTGCAATTTAGTGTGTTTGATATTTTTACATTATGGATATATACATACGCAAATTAAATCTTATACATACATACATGAGATATGCACAATGATTATAGCATTTTAAACTTTATTTGCATATATGTAGTTTGTTTTACTTTTAAAATTGAAATGGATGATTGTATAAATCGTATTAAATTGGCCCATAATGATCACCCCACGCGCTAAAAAAGTTGTTTCTATAAAATATTATAATTTATTTTTTTTTTCTTTTGAGGCGATGGTGTTCTTGTGATTAAATTCGGAAAATAACATGTTAAAAAAAATAACATTTTTGGATTATTTTTATTTCTTTTCATTCTGTAGATAAATGGTTCGATAACGTTGAAAGATCAACTCGTTTTGTTGAAATTTTGCTATTATATTATGTAAGATTGTAGGGTAAAGTAGATTTTTATGAATATTTCGTATTATACTAATATGTTTGTATACGTAAAGAGTATTTTGTATATATGCAGAAATTTTAAACACAATAATGCCTTTTTACTTTTTTGTATACGATATTAAGCAATAAAATTTTTATTAATCCTGGTACCGACTGATGAGTTCTTGACTCCCATTTTATACCAATTGCTTTTTTGCCTATATGGTATCGATATATTATAGACGTAAATTTATATTATACGAGTATACTGTAGTAGACAATATTATTTGAAAGAAATATTTATAAACTACGTTAAAATGATTAGAAAGTTGCATCAAACCAATGGTTTGTAAAATAGTACTTTTGCCTTATGAGCAAGTAAAAAAATACTCTTTTTAAGAACACTTTACTACATTGTTTAATTTGCTTTCATTCACATATAAAAATATGTGTTTCAAATTATTGCATATACATACATTTAGAATGAGCAAAAGAAAAAAAAATTTAAAGAAGCGATGATCTAATTCGACGATTGAAGTGTCAAGATACTCATTTTGGAAAATCTTCTACAGTTTCGGAAATTAAGGGCGCTGAAAATTTATAATTTATGAATTTTGGGAGGCGATAACTTGTTAGGAATTTGAGGTGAAAAAATCATTTCAATGAAATAAACAATTTATTAGTAATTAAAAGTCATATAAAAACTCCTACAATTTACCGTCTTGAAAAAGATATCAAAAATTTTAAAAAACTGGTTCCAGATAACAGTTTATTTCAACGGCTGTTTTGTCAGTTTAATGTTTGACCATACTGTATAACGGTAGAAAAAAAACACTAACAACTTTTCTGAGAACATAAAGAATGTTTTGTAGTTTAAATATAAAAAATTGTCAAAAAATGCATTTTGTAGGCTTTAAGTAGGAAGATTGGTGAAAATTTTCTTCTAGAGAAATAAATTTTTAGTGGTGAAGATCTATTTGTATACAAAATTTTGACATTCTATCTTAAAGGATGTAGAAGTTTTGAAGACACATCCACGAACAGTCGGATGGATAGAGTGAAATTAATAATAATGTTTTTGTTCGATTTTTTTTTGAAAATTGCTGAAAATGTAGAAAATACATACAATTGTCGTGGTTTTTAGAGTAACAACTTGTAAACGCTAAATAGTAAATTTCACATGATAGAAGAAAAATTAAATATAATTTTTAATTTAATAAAGTAAATTCTGTCCTGCATATTTTTTATTATGGCGCTTTCATTGCATTTTATTAATCTAAGTAGAGAGGTGTTACAAACAGTTTTCAAAAAATTTGTAGATCTTAAATATTACAATACGTGGGCGTATCTATAAAACTTAACTGAATGTTTCTAAAAATTTATACTAGTATTGGTGAATTTAAAAAAAAAAATTAATAAAACTCAATTGATTAAATTTTAAAATTATTGAATTTTTTTGGTAGTCATATGTGTTTAAAGATAATTTTTTTTTGGAAAATATTACACATGCAACACAATCTTAAAAATCGAGAATTTTCCTTTGAATATAAAATATGTAGAATTGTATTGATTATTTACAGAAGTAATAAATTCTTTTCTGGATCTTTTACTTCATTATCTTAACGCATATAATTATATACAAAAATTTAGACTTACCGTTGATTAGTTAAATTTGAAATGAATTCCATAATTTGATTTGTTGTTATTAAATTTGTCCCATCTATATCAATAAGTCGATATAATTTATCTAATATCTAAAAAAAAAAGTAATCAGATTAACTAATGTACAAATATATGTTTGTATATCAATTAAAAATTTAAATTTTAATTTAATATAATTTATTCAAATACGTATGACTGAATGTGATTGTACTTACACCACGTGTTTTCCATATGTCACCAAATTTGCTATTTGTAATTTTACCTTCACCACAAATGACATACGCTACTGATTCAAGTTGCTCTGCAAAATCAATTTGTCCTTCATCCCTGAATAATAAAATTAAAAGATTAAGTAAGAAAATTGAGTTTATTCAGAAAATTACATAAAATGATAATTAAATTTTTACATAAAATCTCTATTAAAAAAACATAAAGGTTATGTTTACATTACATTAAATTTTTTTCATATTATATACATATATAGCATATTACATATGTTAATATATAATGTAAAATATATATGTATTTATGACAAATCGAATTAGGTTCCGTTTCAAGTGACAACTTATAAATGTGAAATTATGCAATAAGACCACCTTAAGATTTCGTCGGCATATCGCAAACTTATATAACGAAATCTGAACGCATTGAACATTTAAGCATTAACCTATTAAAGATTAACCTGTGAAAAATTCTCGCAGCACAATGTATAACATTTTGTATTTAATTTGAGGTGGATAACCTGGCTACTACGGAAAACAAGCTTCAGTGTTACATGATTTATACAATGCAGTTAATTTTTTGCATAATATAGCCTCGGCCATACATTATGTTTACTATTGTAATAACAGTATAATAATATAAATTATGGTTGCCAAAAAATTTTCAATATTTATTAAAAAGTCATAATTTACTTTAAAATTGGTCAAGTTCCCAAAATCATTAATTTTTTTGTAATGACATATGGAACAAAATTTATTATGAAAATTTATTTTGCATTTCTTTTGTTGAAAATATGAAAATTTATTGGATGATTAATGGCAAATTGTTGTGTCATCAATAAATTTATTATGTTAAAAAACGATTACTTAAATTTGATTTATTTTTCATACAAATACCGTTTGTCGCATTGCCCGGCTACATCTTTAAATGAATGCATAAAACATTCAAAGCATTTTGATTGTATATTTGAGAATTTTTAAGTATGAAAATGTTGAAATTATTGACACAATCATACAATTTTTCTTTAAAATTGGTAGAGAGATAAAATTTTTACTTCTTACTTAATATTTTTAATTACATTATTCCAGAAATCATGGTTTTTATAGAATTGTTGAAAAATATATTTTTTAATATGCAAAATATTGTAACGTGGAATTAAAAAATGGAAAACTTAATAACTTGCTTTCGTAATGAGGTGTTTTTCAACATAAGGCTTGTCAGTGTATCTATATCGTATATATATTGGATAATATTAAATTATAAGCGGACATACAAATGTATAAATTATGTGGAAGTACATTTTTGTATACACAGAATGTGACCAAGAGTACACAGAATGTCAATCTAATTTCTTCAATCAAAAATACGATCTATGAAGAAAAGCATCGAATATTTACGCCTTTTCTCACAATCACTTATAGTAAACTAAACAAAAAGTTTTTTTAGGCAGAAACCATATTTTATAAGAAGATTCTCATCTATACGCCTAAGATTATCCGCAGAACTTTTTATATAATATTCAAAAGAATCTTTTGTGTGAACTTCAAGTTCCGGAATTGGAATTTGGGAGTTCCAATTCTGGAAAGTTCCAATTCAAAGAAAACATCATCATGTAAGGTACGTGTCAATTTAAACATATTAGATATGCATGTTAAATTTTAAATGAAATTTTAAGTTTTTGAATTTAGTTAACTAAAAATCAGAAAACTTCGTAATGCTAAGTGTGTATTAAAGTCTTACTAATTTCCCAAATTACAAAGAATTTATTAAATTATTAAAATATTTTGTTGATGTCGAATACTTATCAAATTCCATTATTCATAATAATATCATGTATGTCGTATATCAATTCTGTACCTACAACATGCACATAATGTATGTATATATAGAAAAGTATTTAAAAAATAAAATAAAATATGGAGCGAGACATAATCAGGCTCTGGTAGAGCACCATAAATAACATACTGAATATCAACATCAAAAATTACCAAAGATAAATTATTTTGATTAAGTTCTGAAATGTTAATTGATTAGGCAGAGTTCTTCAAAGTATAAGAAAAAGAACCTTAAAAAATTTTACATTAATTTGTTGCTTCATTTCAAATGTACTTATAAATGCTGAGAAAATTCTGTAAGTAGAATTAGATAACAGAGATTTTAAAAATGAGATAGAAAAAATCGTTTACATGTGCAAAGGGGGATTTGTCAACTTTAAATCAATTTAATTTAATTTCTCACTTCAACATAAAAGACGCTTGCATAGATATGCATTAAGTTAGAGTATCTAAGTTGACCTCCCGATATTTAATGCAGCAACCATTTTAAAAAAACCATTTGTTCAAAAAGTAATTAGAATTGATAAATATAATAGAAGATTTTTATGTAAAATAAAACTCTTTTAAATATAAGAAATTTAGGTAGAAATTGACGTTTCTTCTTATTAACGATTTGACGTTTATTTTTCATATACCAAAAAATATGGAGCCATCTACCAGAATATATATACGTTATTGGTTTTTTTGTTATAAGTGATAGAAAGTTATACGTCTCAAGTTGCGTCCTAAATGAAGTTCTCTAATGTTTTAATAATTTAGTTCATAAGCGCTATCATTGGGAAAAGTATACTTATCAAATTTCTCTATACATTCAATTAAAAGCCACACTTAATCGAGAGTGCTGTAGTTTGATTATTTGACTTCAAATAATCAAAAGGCAAAACAAAACATTAATAAAAAGGCGTACATCTGCACAAATTTATCAAAATCATCACAGCAGCATTGAACGCATGGCGTTCACCGTCGATTTAATTTAAACGAACATTGAAAGTGTTTAGCCAGCCGTATGATAGTTTTTTATGAGCAAACAATTATTTAATTTAAATGTACTAAATCTACGATATAAACCATATTGTAATAATTTTAAGACTGTAACTCTTTTTAAAGATAAGTAAAGATATTTTTATAATTTATTTCAGTGATTTAGAGGAGAAAAGAAACTCTTTGTTATCAGAAACAATCTATGTACAATGCAACCAACTACACTTTAGTTACAAATAACATCTATATAATTTAAAAATATTTGAATTATTCATTTTTGTTTTTTAGATAAGATCAGGAAATGCATCTGGAAAATTCTATATATTCTTAAAGTGGAAAAAATATTTTAAAATTCATTTTCAAGTAAATTTTTTTTCCTTTTTTGAATATATTTATTACTTTTATAGATAACAAGATTTTATATACCTACGCATTTGTGTCTACTCCATGAATGAATCTTCTAACTTAGTATCAGTTAAATATATTCCGAAATTGAGAATAAGGATCGAAAGTAATGAGCATTGTATTCAGTTTTATAACATATATATGTAGATATAACGTGCGTACATTACATTTTATTACCGTTGCAATACAAGTGTCTTTTTGAACATACATGTGTTGGGGAAACACGAATATTCTAAATCAAAAATGTTTAATTATAATTTGTTTTGATAGAAGAATTCTCTCTTTAAATTTACAGAATAAAGAGTTTTTATAGAAGAATTCTCTAACTCTTTTAATATAGAGAAATAGGAAAAAAAATCATACAGTTTATTTATTTTTATTGAATTTTATGGGTTTACGATTTTATATTTTAACGTGGAGCAGGCAATTATTGCATACGTTTAGGGAGTAAAAATTAAAAGAAACCGTAACAAATTAAAAGCCTGCAAACTAGGAGGGTGGGAAGATAGAAAAAAATGGTTCAATTGATTTAATTTTTTATATATTAAACTCAATAACTAGTATCTCTGTATATGAAGTGATTTTGTTTATGAAAGCGTAATGAATGCAATAATATATTTCGAAAATTTTTAACGACTACTCTTTACCCTTTAAACTCTTCCCCAAATAATTGTTATTATTTAAGAATCAAAAATTTTAATTTTGTGAATTTTATGCATTTAATAGGTTATAGCATTATAAATTCATATAGTATACAGTATACAATTCTATATTTCCAAAAGATTTTGTTAAAAAATATTTACTTGAAATACAAGATAAATTCACACGTATAATTTGTTACATACATATAATCCTTATTATTGAGCTATAAATTCTTAAAAATTTTTTTTTTTGTTGACAAATAATCAAAGAAAACTAAGATATACATACATAGAAATTATTTGCTTTAAAGGAGATTCATTTACTTTGATAAACTTATCTTATTATCTTGCAACATATAATTTTTTAAAAAGGAAACAGGTTGCACAATTCTGCAAAAGACAGAGAATTCTTTGCAATTTAAACTAACAAAAAGCTAAATCAAAGTGCTAAACAATAATGTATAGGTAATACACGGGTAATATACAGAAAGACAGAATCCATTAGAAATGAAATATTTGTTTTCTATTTATATAATGTGATAGAATAAACTGATAACTGATGGCATATGTTTCAATTAATTTGAGAAAGTTGGTAGAATTATCAAATTCAGTATTTGGTTTTTATTTTCTTATTCAACTCATTTATTCTACAGAAATTTTATTCTATGTACCATAGATAATATATTTATGTGTAAAATTTCGTTTGATTCTTTCAATTTTCATAATTAAATAAGAAAAAAAAAATATTATTAATTTTGCGTTTAGGAATTAACACAGTTGTAGTTTTTAGTCTGTTTTCCTCTTGGTCATAATTTTTTTTTTGAAAATTATACGAGTACCTTTGAGAAAAGTTTTGTATAGACTTAAAATTATTTTTAACTCTTAATACATTTTTGTTTTCGTTTGAAATTTTAAGTACTTATTCGTCTTAATGTTAAAGGAGCAAATAAACAAAAATTGTTGACATTATAAATGCTATTTTTTCCGTTTTAGTGACATATTAAAGTTATTTGATTAATACTCTTATTATGATCGGCGAAGCGAATGTCTAGGCGAATCGAACGTACTAGACGAATCGAATGAAATTTTAAATTATGATCATCGAATTATGCTTTCGCCTGCCAGATCCAAAATGTTGCTACCGTGATACATCGAAAAGCCTACCGAAAATAATATGGTTAACACCACATATATGTATTTTGATTTTTGGTTTCATTTGCCAAGCTTGCCATACAGAATTTTCATTCGACAGATTTGATAGATCATTCGCCTAAAATTTAGGCGAATTCGCTAATCATAATATCAAAAAATCATATTCGCCAAAAATTTCATCCGCTTCGCCGGTCATAATAAGAGCCTAAGTATATGCGTGAACAGTACACTATTTATTAAAATTACGTATACATTTTTATAGCTTAAATTTATTAATTTAAATAAATTTAAAATTTTATTCTAACAAATCCAAAAAAAAGTTTGTAATCTTAAAGTACCCAAATTGTATTACTCATATTCCTACAGATTTTGAAATTATGTATAAAATTTTTTATAAAGATGCATAAAACTTCAACATATTAATATTTAAGAGATGTTACCGTTTTCTTCAGAAGAAGTTTCGATTAGGTTCAAATTAAGAAAAATCTTTCAAAAATTCATTATAAGTATTCTTGAAATTCGTGAATATATGATAGATCATAATATAAAATCTGTAATATCTGTTGTAATCATAGGTTTCTTAGCTACTGTTTCAGTAACGCAGATTTCTATGCAATAAATTGTGTATATTGTTAGGAAAAATAAACAATTAATTTCGTTTACAAGATGTGTGAATAGATCGTGGAAACCTTTATGTTTTGAATTGTCTATCGTTCAAATTGTTTAGTTTCGGACAACAACCTTACAAGTGTAATGGGTGATGATGCTTTGGTCTAAATGTACGAAAAGAATAAGGCTTAAAATTTAAGTCTTCAACTGCAGCACCTTAATATGTGGTTATTTCCAATATTTACATAAAAATTTAATTAAGAAGTAAAGGAAAAGGATTTTCATATTCAATTTTTTGCAATAAGATATTTTTTAAGTACTGCTGTACATATGGGAAAAGCATGAGAAAACTTTAAAAGAACATTTTTTTAAAATCGTATCCCAAATGTAAACTATATAATAAATACAAGACAAGTTACGGGTGCAAAAATTAAAGTTAAAATTATCACATTCTATATCTATATGAACTATTATTTTCCATACGGAGAATAGAATAACAAATACCGCTCATGATCATGTGGAAATCAATGTGTCTTACAAACTAAGGTAAAACGATATTTTAGAATTCGGGGTGATATCATAAAATCGAATATTTTAGGTATTTTCATGGAAAATTTTCAAAGGGAAATTTATAGTTTTTTTTAATGTATTTTATAAAACAAATATGTACAAAAAATTATTTACAAATTCATTTTAAAGAACAAAAGTAGACGAACATTAATTTAATAACGAAATCAAATAATATTCTTGGACAGGAACATACAAGATCTATATATACATACTTACACATCTTCATTTAATTCATTCCATGTTTCTCTTTCTAAATTTCCAGTTCCTTCTAAGTTAATTAAACCAAATTCTTTTAAAAATCTAAAGAAAATTTTGTTATCGAATTTTTTATTTTGATTTTAATTATCAATATGTAGATAAAATTTTTTACGTTCATGTTTAAGCTAAACTTAAATATTTAAAATTTCATAATGAATAACAAATTTATAATATTGAAGGTTTAAATTTTTTAAAAAGTTATTAAATATAAATTAAAACTTACGATAATCTTCCTTTAATTTGTTCAATCCATGCATCTTGTTCCAAATATCCTCGACCATCCAAATCAAATAAATGAAAGAATTTTTGTAGAAATCCCTAGAAAATGAAAATGAAATATTTATGATTTTAATTGAATCACAGCAAGAGTTTTTTTTTTAGTTAGATATCTGGTATTAAATTAAAATTCTTTTCCAAAAATATAACGTAATTACGAGTATGTGTCATTGCCTCTAAAATAATGCAACCAATAACGTTTAAGAATAAAAATAGCTCGCAATATCAAAATTTTTTTGGTATAACAGCAGCTTTTCTAAATTATTTTGGTTTTTACGAGTATGTTAAAATAGAAAATTCAAATTAATTTAATCGACTATTAAAAGCTTAAAGTTATGTTGGCTGTGCTTAACTTGAAATTAATTACAAGTTTTTAATTTAAACACCGGTTAAACATTAAACGTTATTCATGAATTTTGGTAGTTTCTGTAATAACTGTAATAAGTTATTCATGAACTGTTTGGTAGCATCTATATAATGAAAAGTACCCACCTACATTACATGAACAAATAATTTTTTGACTTTACTATATGCACTGTAAATTATTATTACTATGTTATACAGTTTACATTTTGATGACTCCATATATAAATATATTGAAGTGTAAGTGCTTCACATGATATCCAATGAAGATTCACTATTCTGCTGTATTCTTTATTAAACTATGTGTACATTTAATTTTAATCACTTTACATGCTATTCTTAAACAAAATTTACCGTTTTATTATTTTCTTATTTTTCATTCAATCTCTATATTGATTCTCTACGCAAAACTCTGTTGGTAAACATACTAAAGAAGAAAAGCATACATGCATATAGAATAAAAAAAGAATGAAGTTGGTAACAGCCAAAAACAGTCACTTTACTTAAAATGTTAATTAAGTTGTTACTATTTTTTGCAATAAATTTAGTGCCTGTACGAGACTAAGTTGTTGATACAGATTATCTATACTTACATTCAATATAAGTAAACACTTGTTAAGGTTGAGCTGGTAGCTTCCTATACTTCTTTATTTTGTTTCTTTTTTTATTTTAATGAATTTTTGTGCTTTAAAAATTAGATGGAATTTTAAAACAACTTTACCATCTGGATTTTTTATTTTCCCATTTTTTTTTTTTGCTATTTTATCAGGAATTCGTAATCAATTCTTATGTATATTGTACTTGTATATAATATGTATGTATTTATTTGTCCTACGTATATAATATTTTCTTTATTAGATCACCTACGGGTACTTTCAGTAAGAGAAGTTCCCATACCCTATCACATTTATTTTAATGCTAATTAAATTAAACCTTTTTTGTTTCTATTACAGAAAACATGAATTTTACAAAACGTTAATGAAGAGTTAGTATAGAGAAGAAATTTTTGTTACTAGATTTAGTTATAAATGTGTGTATATATATGTATGTACGAGTTCTGGTTTATATTAATTCGGAAAAAATTTGAGGATAAAACACCACATGGAATAAATAAATAATTTATTCGGTGTGGTGTATATATGCTCCATAATCGACCACAATCATATTAGTTTGGTTTTCACTCAGTCTGAAATACATATGAAACCCTTTAAAAACTTACCTTTTTCGAAATATATTTTAATTATTTACATTTTTTAATTGCAATTAAGTTGTGAAGTTAAAATGTCAGTTTCAGTATAATCAAATGACAAGGTGTTTTTAAAAATTCTGTACTTAAATGATTATGTTCTAAGTCAAAACAAAAAAGCTCCTATGTCAGGAGCTGGGAGAAAATCAGAAATGGCTGGTCAAGTAGTAAGTACTCTTTTAAAATCAAAAAAATAAGCAGCAGAAAGCATTGTTAGCAGCAAAAAAAGAAACATGTTGCATTTTTATCTTAATGGAAACTTCTTCATGCAACTGCAGAACAGATGGATGACGTAATCAAAGGAACGAGTTAAAGGCAGAAAAATTCATTAAAAAAATTTTTCTCCTCGAACTGGACTCGAACCAGTGACCTACCGCTTTCTAGGCGGACGCTCTACCAATTGAGCTACAGAAGCATGAAGAAATTGCCGACGAAATGTTGCAATTTTTCTTATTTACTTTTGATAATTTACTGATAGAACTTGGGTTTAAAAATTGTACTGCCATTGACGTTTCTTATATTATGCTGACATGCTGCTGGTAAGAACATACTATTAGAAGAGTTAGAATTTTTTAAAATTCTGAATTTATTTTCAGTTCTGTAAAGGAGTAAAAGATACTTTCTAACAAACTAATAACAAGCGATTTAAGAAAATCCATTGTAAAATTGCATGAAAGTCTTAATTCGTACCAAAAACTTAGGTGTTACTTAAAACTAGTCCTTTTTACAGTACAAGTCATTTTAAATTATTTAAAATGACAATCAAATCTTCAAGATTAAACCCATTAGAAAGAAAATATTCAGTCAATTAAGGTGGGGCTTGTATTTTATGTGTATATTCCTTGAGAGGTTGATTTTTATGTACATATGTACATATATATATGGGAATAACTTCTAATATTTATGTTCCATTAGAATTGGTGTTGTTTTTGCGATTATTGTTTATTTATTTTTAAAAATTATTTAAAAACGAGAAAAAAAATAGAGTTGACCTTGTCAACTCTGTGATACCCGTACGAATTAGTTATCCTATGTGCGAATAACTAATGTTCCATAACTAACTATGGGGCAGACTATGACTTTAAGTTGCCGTATTACCATATTAATTTATGCAAAATTTCAGTACTATGTGTTATTCAAAATACTGGTTGTGCCAAACTACTATTGATGTTGTATGGCACCTACCAGAAAGAGAAATTTTTCCGCCAAGAAATTTTGGCGAATTTTATCAAGCATATCGGCCCTACTAATATATTCACTTTTGTGAAATCTCAATATCACAGCTTTTATAGTTTCTGAGATATAGTCAAATAACTTTTGAAGTTGTATGGCAGGTACAAGAAGGAGCCAAGTAATTTCAACGACTTTTATGAGACACATTGGGCCTACTAATATATTCGTTTGTGTGAAATTTCAATACCATAGCTTTAATAGTTCCTGAAATATAGCCAAATAACTTTTGAAGTTGTATGGCAGGTACCAGAAGGAGCCAAGTAATTTCAACGACTTTTATCTGACACATTGGCCCTACTGATATATTCGTTTGTGTGAAATTTCAATACCATAACTTTTATAGTTTCTGAGATATAGCCAAATAAATTTTGAAGTTGTATGGCAGCTACCCGAACCGGTACTCCGATCATGTCCAATTTAAATAGGGTTCTGGCACTTACTACAATAAATCATTTGTGAAAATTTGGTGAACTTAGCTCAATTAGTTTTTGAGTTATCGTTCGGACGGACGGACGGACGGACGGACGGACAGACAAAGCCAAATCAACTCAGAATTTGACGCTGATCAAAAACATACACTTGAGTCTATATCTAACACCGTTATTTCTTAGCGTTACAAACGGTAAGGCAAATTTAGTATACCCTTCGAACATACGTTCGTACGGGTATAAAAATCTTAATAAAATTCCAATAATTTAGAATTTTGTGATATTATAAATAACCATTTCGTAAATCAACTGAATATCAACTGAATACCAACTGAATAGTTGCAAAACAAGAACATATAGATTTGGTCGCGTCAACTTGAGATACTCGTACAGATTATTTCATAAAACCCTGCTGTTAAATTTATCTTAATGGAAATTTCTTCATGCAACTGCAGAACAGATGGATGACGTAATCAAAGGAACGAGTTAAAGGCAGAAAAATTCATTAAAACAATTTTTCTCCTCGAACTGGACTCGAACCAGTGACCTACCGCTTTCTAGGCGGACGCTCTATCAACTGAGCTACAGAGGTATGAAGTTAAACTTGTTAATATTGTCCAGCTTATTAAATTTTGTGAAGTTTCTATGTTTTTGTTATCCAACAATTATCCAACATTTTATATTTGCATGGAAGCTATTAAAAAAACTTATACAGTAAAAACTTTTACTGTAGTCATTTGCAAAATAACAAATGCAAATACTTAAGGTTTAATAGTTTCCGAAATATAATCAAAATATATTTTTTGAGTATTTTTATTTAAGTTATAGCAGATATTCGAACCAATTTTCGCGATTCAACTCAAAGTTTATTGGTTCGCACAACAACTCCTGTAAGCAATTCATAAAAACGGAGTGCCAAAAATTGAATTATATAACAACTATGAACACTTATTTAAAAGTTTAAGGGTTATGATTTAAGTGAAATTTGGTTGTAACTTGTATATTTTTACGTACATATTAGATTCGGTTATAAAAAATTGCGATTTATTCATCATAAAACTGCAAGTATGAAGGACAATTTACAAATATTGTTCTCAAATGTTATTAATTTGTAGTTAATTAAATAATTTTACAGGGCCAATCAATCAAATTTGTTTTGCCATAATAAATTTTAAATAATAATATGTATGTGTACATACATATGTATAAAATATAGGAAAATTGTTTTATGAAAGTAATGAAGTTTAATGATTTTTGTTCAAGTATTTTTAAAAGCTTCTACAACACAAAACGGTAAGCTATGAGAATCTGAGAAGTTCTATTTGATTGATTGAGTGTGTTTGTATAATTACAGATATTATAAGTAAATATCAAGTGACTAGACAATTTTGTCATAAACATTATAATTACATGCAATGGTAATTAAAAAGAAAAAAAATATAAGTTTCTTTCACTAGTTCTTCTACGAGTATTGTATTTTAGCAAAATGAAATTATTATTGTTAATGAATTTTAACACTAATAGGTATTCCATTTAATTTAGTCAAATATGATTAAAACTTGCAAGAATCTTATAAATTCTGAAATGAATATTCAATTAAATCCAGTATTCGCATTATAAATACTTTTTAGCTTTGAGAAAAAATGCGGATGTGTTTTTTTTAAGGTCGATTGAATCATACGGAAAATGTTTTGTTACTTAAAATAAATAGTGTTTCCACAAAATTTTTACAAGAAAATTAGTCGAAACTGAGAATGATGAACTGAAAAATA